TGTGTTTTTAGCTTGTTCTCTATTCATCTCTTACAAAATGTAGGCGTATCTTGCCTGGCAGCCACTGGTCTATACTGTGGTATTGGTACTTAGTATCGTTCGGTATTATATATTGGTTTTTGGTCTTTTCCAGAAAAGAAAGTAGAAGAACCACCAGCTAAATTGTTAGATGATTTATTTAAAAAAACAAAATCAACACCTTGTATATATTGGTTACCATTAACAGAAGAACAGGTAACTTATACATTTTTTTTTTTTTTTTTTTTTTCATAAATGTTGGTCCAAAATATAGCTATATATGATGAAATGGGTGTCCTGCAAAAGGCAGAGTATGCTTTTTTCTTTCTAGAACACTGGTTTTATACTAATGACTGTAATACTCATGATATTTCAGAGTTATTACTCTGAACACAAACTTTATAATTTGATTGTTTTGTAGAGTGAAAGCAGATTAGCTGCTAGAAAAGCTAGACAATTAGAACGGGAAAAGCGAAGACAAGAATTGGATAGACAAGAAGAATTAGAAAGAAAGCAACGATTAAACAGTGGTGGTGTTAGTGCAGTAGATTCCAGAAAAAAAGAAAGGGAAAGGGTGAGTATACAATGCTCCTTCTAATCTTTGAAGGAATTATTAGTGAGCAGAAATTCGCCCATGTATCTGTTACCACCTGTCACTTCAGTCAGTTATATAGAGGGATAACTCGTGTTTTCCTTTTGCGTTCATCACTTCCGATTGTTGAAACATTGATTACTCATCTATCGTAGCAATGATCTCTGTGATAAAATAATATTTGGAACTTGTTTAACCAGTTCTATCACATATGTGATAATGACTGGCACCAATATTGTCCTTTAAATATACTAAATGTTTTGTTGGGTCTTTAACATTGGAAGTTCTGAATTTAGAGACTGTCAACATTGCAGACTTTTAAGTGAACAAGAAAACATGACACAAATCCTTTTAGTTAATTAAAATTAGAAGTTGAATTTGATATTTGTTGGTACCACGGACAATACATATTGAAATATGTAACTTATTGTGCTGTGTTCTTATACATGTTTCATTTGTTTGTGTTTTTAAGTTTTCTGCATTTAAACTTAAATAAACTTTTTTTCCCCCCAGGGTCCTCCTCCTCCTCCACCAGGTAGACCTAGAGATCGACCTAAGAGAAGTCCTAGTCCACACAGAGATCGACCTAAGAGAAGTCCTAGTCCACACAGAGATCGACCTAAGAGAAGTCCTAGTCCACACAGAGATCGACCTGCAAAGAGTAATAGTCCTCACAGACAACGACCAGAACGTAGACGATCAAGGAGTAGAAGTCGAGGAAGGCGGTGATAATATATTTATAATATATAAATAGATATGTACATATGTATATAATTTTCGTGGCACATAGTAAATCAAGTTACAGATCCTCTTCCCTGTCAACATCACGCTAAGAGTTCATCATGGATAAATTCTATCATTTGGCTTTCTTTTTTTTTTTTTATTATCATTTTTAGACAATTTTATTGTGAAATGGTTCCCTGTCCAATAAAAATTAGGTTTCCATTCTTTTAATTATTTGTATAGATATTTTGTGTATAAACATTTGTATATTTAATTTAGTTTTAGAAATAAACTTTATATAGCTTATTTTTTGTTTGTACATTTCCTAAAATTTTGGGGATTTTTAAGATGCATTATATAAAATGTAGATAAAAAGCTGGCTGTACCTGCTTTAATAGTTCAAAAATAAATAACTAGACCTGTTCTCGAAACCGGTTTGATAGTTTTTATACAACCCAATCATACACTTATACATTAATTTCCAGAAATGGCACAGTTCCTGTCGAGTGGACACTCCCCTTCTCTCTCTCACACACACACACACACACTAGTGACAAGGAAAAATGTGTGGGGAACTCTCAGTCAATTCCAGTAGCAAACTTCCTGGTTAGCGAGGCAGTGCATTACTCACTGAGCCACTGTGGGTCTTTTGAAAAATTGAGTTTAATTCTGTAGAATATGTACTTTTTCCAAAAACGTGAGGAAAAAAAAAAGAAGTAATAATCCGAACAAAAACAAAAGTAGTTTGTATAAGCCCACATGGAAATGTGCATGTCCGTTGTCTACAATTTCTTGTGAACGCTCTCACTCCAAAAGTTATTATCCGATTGTTTTAAAATAGATATATGTGGTTTACATTAGTTAGACGAAGAAGCCTATTTAATTTCAATAATTTCTGTTCATTACGTCTAGAGTTATGGCCTTTGTTTCACTTTGTTCAACCTCGTTAATGCTCGATTGATGAAAGTTATTATCCGATATATATGAAATTTATATGCATCAATATAAATAGGCACCACCACTGTCATTGAAATGAATTTGAACAAAGTCTGTTAATTATTGCAAGTTGTAGAGTATTTACAGATAAAAACAAGCCAACAGTGAGGCTGATGTCCCATGCCGAAATCCCGAAATATATAGATGAAACATTAATTAATCGCACATTTATTGTTTCCAAAAGTATGAGCAATCAAACTATACACTAAGTTTCATCACTCTCTATCAGATAGAATCAAGATTATCTTGTCCCAAAGCATAGACCTCCAATGAAATTTCTTAGCTCTGCTTAGCTTCAGCTCAAAATGTTAATCATTGAACTCAGTCAAGACATTCACCTAATGAACATCCACATCAAGTTTAAACATTCTACCTCAATTAAAATCAGAGTTATGTTCAAAAGTCTTGACCAATCGTGCACCAACATTAATAGTTGTCACCCTTAGGGTATAAGGAATTAGTATACAAAGTTTCAAGATAATCCATTCAGAATTGTGGCCCTCGGGCGCTATAGGCAAACATTGGGCCCTTAGGCTATAACTAAGGAATGCATATTCCAAGTACCAAGCTGATCCATTCAGAAACGATGGGCGTGGCTCTGCCTGTGAGGGTTGGGCAATCACCAAAAAACAATAGGGGTTTTCCTTTTCAAGAATTGCGGCCTGTAATTGACACACAAAAAGAACATGGGCGTGGCTCTGCCCCTGGGGGTTGGGCATTCACCACAAACAATAGGGATGTTCCTTGGGATAGAGGGAATAAGTATGCAAAGTTTCAAGGTAATGTTAAGAAATGTGGCCTGTAGATGACAAAACAAATAAATACAAGAAATGGGCGTGCACCAAAAACAATAGGGATCATCCTTTGGGGTGTAAGGAATTCATATGAACATTTTTCAAGACAATCAATTAAACATTGTGGCATGTAGGCGACACACAAAAAGAAAATGGGCTGGCTCTTCCCCTAGGGGTTGGGCATGCCCCCCCCCCCAAAAAAAAACCCTAACAGAGTAGACTGAAGTATACTATATGTAAATGTGAGAAACATTATTTTTGTTAAGACGCAAAGTAATATTTTTCATTTTTAAATGGGATAACAATTGTGACCTCTAGAGGGACCACATGTCAAAAACAAGATTTTTTGTACAGTCTTACGGACCATAATTCTGGAAGTTACGATCCTATATGCGCAAATATCGAAAGGAACCAAGATCTTTGGGTTATAAACATGTATTTCAAGTTTCATCAAAATCGGATCAAAATTCTGAGCTCTAGAGGGTCCACAACCTTGATATACCATATTTTTACACTGTTTGCAGTCGAGGGGCGGCCATTTTGTCAGGCAGTTTTGGTCCGATTTTCACGAAATTTGAACTCAACCGTCATTAAGGTGCAACAGTGATACATCATGGCGGAGTATGCATATGTAAAATGTCTATTTTTCTTGTTTCAAGAAAATCGCATTTTAAACTTTTGAATTCCTATTTCAAATCAGGGAATTATCCGAACATGATATACTATATATATGTTATATATTGGTTGGTACTACACAAATCGAGATGACCATTTGAATGAAATTGGTTCCTGACTTCTTGCAAATTGGTTCCATATGGACATATCGTTTATGCAAATTGAACTTTTAAAACAGGTCCACATTCTGATGGACATAATGCCATGTTAGTTATATACTGGTAATATGCACAGGAATGAGTTCAATTTTAAGAAATATTGAGCTATTGTGAACGCTGTCATGTAATGACCCATTTTAAAAATACATTTACACAAACTTTAATGTTTAGACCCCTGACAATGTGTTTTGTAGGCGAAATGTCCACTGGTTCCTGTTTAGTGTTATGAGCTTTCAGTAGACAAAAGTTACATGTCCACAAATATCACTTTTGCATACTAAACTTTTGCTGAATGGGGACATGTGCTATATGTTTTCATGGTAATAACAAACGTGATTTTAACAAGCTAAAAAACGTGATTTTTCGTACAATCAGGGGCCATAATTCAGGAAGTTACGGTCCAATATGCACGAATATCGGAAGGAACCAAGATCTATGGGTTATAAATTACATTTAAAATTTCAACAAAATCAGATAAAAATTGTGACCTCTATAGGGTCCGCAAGCTAAAAACGTGAGTTTTCGTACAATCAGGGGCCATAATCAATGAATTTACAGTCCGATACAAGCCAATATCGAAAGGAACCGAGATCTTAAGGAGATAATCCTATATTTCAAGTTTTGCTAAACTTAGGGAAACACTGATGTGGTCAACATGTTCTTTAATGGTACAGCTTGATTTGGGGTAGCGAGCTATCATCATGGTGTCTTTCAAGATACATAAAGGCAGAAGCAAAGCACACCAATTGCATTATGCACTCCTTATCTTTTAAAGGCTTTTGAGCTAACAGGAGTGGGAAGAACGGTCTAAAGTACCTTTTGGATAAGGTTATTCATTGAATCGGTATCAATTCCAGGCTGGTAGTACCTAACAAGGAGTATATTCGTCTACATAACCACATGGATTTTCTCAAATCTCATGCCACTTCTGCATGAAAGATTTATTGAAATAAAGATACCGAAATTATATATTTTGAGTTGAGCCAAAGATAGGTTAAGAACATTGGATTACAGAATATTACGTGTAAAAAAAAAAAATACAAATCATAATAAAATAAATTTATTTATCACAGTTAGGACATGCTTATATCAAGCTACGGAGTATGTTTTGTTTTTTTAAAAGGTATAATGTTAACCAATAGGCATAAAGATAATACAAGATAATACATAATGTGAAATGGATACTAATTGCTGATATTTTACAAATGACTTTTTTTCCCTTCAGTACATCTTCAATATTTAAAAAAAAAACAACATTTGGCTTATGGTTAGATAATCTGACATTAACTGTACTTCTATTAACAAAATAAAGCCCACGAGCAAAGTTGCCATGCCAAATCAAAAAATTATTGTCAATAAATCCCACAGAGAAAATTTTAAAAATACTATTATAGACTCCTAGAAGAGCCTGTACTTTTCTAACCTTTCAAAGTGAAAACGTGAATGGAAAATTAATTCTGTTAACATGTTATAAAATTACGATCCAAAAATTTGAAAGTGGACAGGCAGAATTAACTACGAAATATACAGTCAAATTATTCTGAATTTCAGAAGGCCTCCTGTTCATTCCCGTATTAATAACACTTAGCTTTGACAAAACCATTGCAAACTTTATTCTATGTTGTGTTCACAAGCTTTAACATCAAAATGTGAACAAGAAACTAACTCATCCAAGCTATTTGAAAATTACTATGAAAAATTGTTGAAATTCAATAGGTTTCATTCTTTTGCCACAATGAACAATACCACAATTTTTTTTAAAACATTCCATTGAGAACATTGTCTTGTGTTACATCCATATGTGTTAAATGTCAAAATTGTAGGCTATACCTTCATGAACAATACCATCGAGAACTTTTAATTTCAATAGGGTTCTTTCTTATCATCAATCCCTTCAAATTTTAAACCAGACAGGATATGCCCACATTTTGCAAGAGATGGATAGAGAACAAGCTAAAAATAAAAGCGAATTTCCGTACAATCAGGGGCCATAATCCAGGTAGTTATGATCTAAAATGTGTGAGTATCGAAATGAACTGAGATATTTGGGATATAAAATCTGATAAAAATTGTGACTTCTAGAGGGTCCAGAAGCTCAAATCATGATTGTCCGAGCAGCCATTTTGTCCGGCAGTTTGGGTCAGATCTTTAAGACATTTCAACTCAATCCTCATTGATGTGTAACGGTGATATATTTAAAATGTTTATTTAAAAATGAATACAGCCGGGTCCAAAATCCAGGATGTTCTGTTCGGATATACGAGATTATCGAATGGAACCAAGTTCTTTGTGATATATGCGTACGAGGGATTGCCATTTTGTCCAGCAGTTTTGGTCGGTTTACCACGAAATTCGAATTCAACCATCATTATGGTGTAACAGTGATATATATTCCATGAAGTTATGGTCTGATATATGCCAATATCGAAAGGAACTGAGATCTTTGGGAGATAGGCCTATATTTTAAGTTTCGTCAAAATCAAACAAAAATTGTGACCTGTAGAGAGTGTCCACAAATTGTGGACGAACAGATAGACAGACGGACGGACAGGGGCGACGACAATATACGTCCACATGAAAATATAGGCGTATAAAAATCTGACAAAAACTGTTGAATATCGCACATTCACGATAAAAGTTGGATAGATTGATCGACACAGATGACAATAATATATGTCCACATTAATAAAATGTAACAAATTGGGGTTTATAAAAACATTAAAGCCCTAAGCAATACCAGGGCTAATAATAAGAACATACACGTCTAAAAGTGTAAATCAGCTTTGTGACTGGTTTCTGGATACAGACTTAAAAATCATTAACAAACATCATATCCTCCTTAAAAACACACGCACATTGCATGTTAATTAGCCAGTTAAACTGATAAAATAATAGTATCTACAAATAGTCACATCACATATCATCCTCGGAATTCCATGTGGTCCCATTCAAATTATCTGCTCTTGATGATTGTGCTACTTTTATCGACAAATAACAAGATATGCTTGACCGGCAAAAAAACATCTTTCCCATCTATATGTCACTTTTATATTAAATTAATAGCAAACTTTGCCATAATCGAGCGAACAAGCAGCCACATTGTTGTGAACGTAAACAATATGGCTATGATCAAGGGCAGATAATCTGAATATGTGAATACTATATGGATAAAACCCAGGGTATAGTGAAGTAGAATGGAATGAGACCACTGGAGATACCGAGGATGATTACATATATGACCACATTTCCATATGGACTTATAAAATGATAAACTTTAATGTACTGGTACCTAAATTATTTTACAATTCCACTTACTACTGCAAATATCTTATTACACAGCGATAAGATTTATATGTACCAATTCCACGTCTATAATTTCTTTGGAAATATGTTATAACTATAGTGTATTCCTTGTAACCAAATTAAAGATATCAAATTTTCTACACTATTAATCTTTTAAATGTGTATACAATACCTTTAAGAGAGAAAGAGAAATGGGGTTTAACGTCCACTCGACACAAACTAGGTCATTTCGGGACTAACATATGGTTTAATTTTATTTCAATAATTCGCTTGCGCATTGGGGTCTTTAGCAGTGGGAGGACAATACCTTTAAATAAATGAATGAGGTATTATAATGGAAAGAATTACTCTATCTAATATCTAATTCATATTGTAATTGATAATATTATGGATTCATAAATAATTTAAATAATGTAAATATGCAATTGACTAATGGAATTCTCTATGATTCAATGGACGGAAAAATAGAATACTCTATGGTTCGGAGACTGATAGGAGCCTAAGAAAGATAACCCGATTTATTCATCAAGACGATTATCTTTATCAGCTGGGAGTGTTAACAATTCATCATCTTCAATATCATCAATTTGTCCCGGTTTGCGTGTTTTTCTAATTGTGTCTTTTAAACGCATATTTTCTGAATTTGCTGCTTGCCACATATTTTCTAAATCATCTTCTACAGATCTGTAATAAATATTTTATTTTTTTAATAATTGTAAAGAATGATCACAAAATCTGCAAAGATAGGTTGCCAGGCAACAGCAGCTAAGTCGTCCGAGCAGTCAACAAGAGTTGTTGCATATTTTTTCTATTGTCAGTAATGAAACATTTATAATACACTAAAATCTGATTAAGAGTAACAACTGATTAAGCATACATTATGCAAGAGCTAAATCTGCCTATTGCAGATGTCACCCGCAGAAATCCCCAAATAAATAGATACATATTAATTAATTGCATATTTATTTTTTTCAAAAGTAACGTGCAATCAAACTATACACTAAGTTTCATCATCACTCTATCAGATAGAATCAAGATTATCTTGTCCCAAAGCATCGACCAATGAAATTGATTAGCTCTGCTTAGCTTCAGCTCGAAATGTTAATCATTAAACTCAGTCAAGACATTCACATAATGAACATCTACATCAAGTTTAAACATTCTACCTCAATTAAAAGCAGAGTTGTTATGTTCCAAAGTCTTGACCAATCAAATTGCTCATCATCGAAATTAGTCAAGGCATGGATATAATGAATCTATATTTAGAGTTTCATCGCCAAGTTATCGAGCCTCAAAGCATCAACCAATCAGATTGCTTATCTCTGCTTACCGTAAGCAGACAATGTTCATCATCGAACACCATCAAGGCATTCATCTAATAAACGCCTACACCAAGTTTGAACATTCTACCTCAATTAGAAGGAGAGTTATTGTGTTCCAAAGACTCAGTCAATCAAATTGCTTATCGCTCTGCTTACCCTCAGCAGAAAATGTTCATTATTGAACTTGGTCAAGGTATTGATGTAATAAAGCTATACACCAATTATCCTCACTCTCACTTAATTAGAACTAAAGTTATCGTGTCCTACCCTAAGCAGAAAATTCTCATCTTCTAACTCCATCAAGGCATTGACCTAATAAACACCTACACCAAGTTTGAACATTCTAACTCAAATAGAAGGAGAGTTATTGTATTCCAAAATATCAGCCAATCAAATTGCTTATCGCTCTGCTTACCCTAAGCAGAAAATGCTCATTATCAAACATAGTCAAGATATTGGCGTAATCAAACTATACACCAAGTTTCATCACTCTCACTTAATTAGAACTTAAGTTATCGTGTCCCAAAGCATCAACCCATCAAATTGCTTATCTCTGCTTTCCGCGAAGCAGAAAATGCTCATCTTCGAACCCTATACACCCAATAAACACCTACACCAAGTTTGAACATTCTAGCTCAATTAGAACGAGAGTTATTGTGTCCCAAAAAGTGTGACGGACGGACGAACAGACAGACAGACGAACCCATTTTAATGGTCCCCTGCTTTCTTCGAAAGGCGGGGGACAATTAGACATTAATTAACTTATCCAGACCATAATCAACTCTCGATGTCATCGCTAGCCTGCGATGTTTATTGGATTAGGTTCCGATTTGCTGTTTGACTTTCATTCATGATTTAATTATGAAATGGATAATAGAGAGTATGTTTTTTATCAAACCGACATTATTAATGATGATCGAGGCTAGGCCTAAAATTCAATCGCTAAAATATCGGTTGAAGGTGGATCAATTTGACTGAAATTTTCATCAAATTCCCTTTACATTATCTAGTTTTTAACTATTATAGTGAGAACTGCCAGCTCTTTATCTAATCTCCAATAATGTATCTTCAAGTAATTATCAGAAAATCATTAGAATTTGTTTGGCTTTTAGTTCTGCCCCATGCTAACGTTTAGCATACGAAACATTTAATATCATGGATTTAGATGTTCAAGTTATCAAAATTTATTGAAAATCAATATACTTGTTTGTTTCAAGTCAATCGGATGATAACTTTGGTGTCTAGAGCATCCACAAGATTTTTCAAAGTGTTCAAGGGCCATAACTCTGGTAGTAATTATCAGATCTCATTCAAAATCTCTGGCAGTAATATTAACTTTAGTCTCTAGAGCATCCACAAGATTTTTCAAAGTGATCAAGGGCCATAACTCTAGCAGTAATTATTGGAAATCATTGAAAATCACTGGGCTTCTTTGTCTTATCACCTCAAACACTGTGTATAAATCTAAAGTCAATAGGATATTAACTTTAGCCTCTAGAGCATCCACTAGATATTTCCAAGTGATCAAGAGCCATAACTCTGGCAGTAATTATCGGATATCTTCGTCTTACAACCTTAAACACTGTGTATAAATTTAAAGTCAATTGGATATTAACTTTAGCCTCTAGAGCTTCCACAAGACTTTTCAAAGTGATCAAAGGCCATAACTTGTGTATAAACTGTAGCCTCTAGAGCATCCAAAAGATTTTTCTAACTATTCTATGTGATCAATACAGTAAAAATCAATATACTTCACACGTCTCATGACCTTAACCGCTGTGTATAGATTTAAGCCTCTCCGGCATCCAAAAGATATTTAAAAGTGATCAAGGGCCATAACTTTGGCAGTAATTATCGGAAATCGTCGAAAATTAATAGGCTTCTGCGTCACATGACCTTAAACACTGGGTATAAATCTAAAGTCAATCAAATATGAACTTTAGCCTCTACAGAGCCACAACTAATTGTGGATGCCAGACCGCCGGCTGGATGAGGTTGACGACAATATACATCTACGTACTAATGTAACTATATAAAAACTAATGTCTCCGTTAATTAGTTACTATTGTATATTTTTGGAATGGACAGAAAAAAAAGAGGTTGGGTCATTTTAATATCACTTATACTCACTTTTTTTCATTAATCACTGAACCCAACAATTGTTCTTTTTCGCTAATAACAAGGCGTAGATATTTAATTTCTCGTTCATATTCCTGACGCTGTCTTTGAAATGATTCATCTTGTTCTTTCAACCTGTTAAATACAATAATAATTAAACCAACATCAAAGTCTTATTTGGATTTTAAGACGTCAAAGAGAAAAGGAGATTAACATCCGCAACATTTCAAGACAAAAATGTTTATTTAGCAGTGGAAAGGAAACAGAGAAAATAAACAAGGTTAAACAGATGACCCTATTCCAGAGTCATAATGTGGTGAAGTTATTAAATCAGCAAATTTGAAAATTGGACACTACTGTTATCTTGTCAGTCCATAATTTCATGGAACAGATCTTAATATAAGACACACAATATTGAAAACTGTTTTAAACATTGAAGATTATGTGGATTCTAATTAGCCCTCTTACTTTACCTTTCAGCAACTGTTGATAGTTTTGAAGCAGCTTTCATTTTGTATAGCTGTAATTAGAAATATATATAATTGTTGACATGCAATATCTGTGTAACAGTTGGATGTTCTAGCTGTACCTTACAAATTTCAAAATGTACTTCAAAGATTGCTTATAGGTCAATCTAATTAAATTTATTTTTCAATTTGTATGATCTTTTTGGTTCTGATTTTCTACAATAAATTGGAAATGACTACTGTTCATATGTCTAATGTCAGCTCTGTTAAGCACAAGACTTCCATTGGTTTATACATAGATGAGTGGAGGATGGCTTGGGGTGTTTTCATGGGCTGTTAATAGTGCACAAGAAGATAATAAAACATGTTCAATTGTTATGTAAAACTGGGTCTGGTCAAATATAAAATTTAAAATATAAAACAAACAAAAAACACATTAAAATTTGAAAAACATCAAATTAGAATTTAATCTAATAAACTGGTCAAAGACTGTTGACCGATAAAATCTGGAAATTAAACTGATATTAACTGATGTGAAGTACATTGTATTTCTCAAAATTTATACAGGGTGGAGGGGGCATTTTTGCTTTCAGAACTTACCTTTAATCTTTCTTCTAATTTACCTACAGTAACAGATCTTTCTAACATTTTATTTAATGTTTGTTTACTTTCTTTTTCTTGTTCTTTAGCCTGCAAAATTTTCAATTAAAATATACTTTATCATTTTCTGATCCAACTAATCCAACAAGTCAAATATTCTCAAGTGTGATCAGTTTCCAAACAATTATTGTAGAATTTTAACAATAAAATACATTTCGCACAATACACGATAATCTATAACATAGCATTTTATAACAATTTGACAACTTACAGCTTTGGCATAAGTATCTCTTTCTAAAGCTGTTAATTCTGCCTAAAAGTAAAAAAAAAAGATAAACAATTATTATATTTTATGGCATGGCGGATTCCCGCCGATCTATATGTCAAGAATTTATTATGACTAAACTCGTGTTTCTTCATCCCAGCCAAACAAATAGGCAACATTTTGCTTGTCAAGCTTACTGGCTCTACACCTGACAAGTAGGAACTGGATTTGAAAAATCCCAAGATTCTTCTCAGCTAACATCATGATTTGAACCATGACATTCTAGTCATTAATGAAGATAATTATGGTACTTACAACTTTAATTAAATTGGCTAATTGTTCTTGTGTTATCATTTCTTTATTTTCAGATTGTTCAACTGCTTTATGGAAAACTGCTAATTTTTGTTGGGCTTTGCTGAATAAGACAATACAAAATAAATAAATATCTAATACTTTAGATTCTTGCCCAATGTCAACCAAAACTGAAGTTCATTAAATAAATAGTAATTTCGGATATGTACCTATATGTTCTTTCCAACATCTTAACCTGTGCATGAAGTTGACGATTTTCAGCTGTTACATCTGCTACCTGTCGAGCTAAACATTTCTGTTCTGCTTCTGATGCCTGTCAAAAATACGTGAAGATCTACTAGTTTACAAATAGGATTAATTCATATTAAGTAACAACCAGCGGCTGCCAGGCAGAATATGCCCACATTTTGCAAGAGATGGATAGAGAACAAGCTAAAAACAAAAAGGATTTTTTGTACAATCAGGGGCCATAATCCAGAAAGTTATGGTCTGAAATGCGAAATCATCAAATGAGACTGAGATTTTTGGAATATAAAGATAGGTTTTAAGTTTCATCAAAATTGGATAAAAATTGTGACCGCTAGAGGGTCCATAACCTTTGTATTTCATACATATACTCAATTAATTTTAACTAACTATTAACTTTAAATTCATTTTAACTAACAATTAACTTTAAATTCATTTTATCATACCATTTAATTTAATTCATTTTATCATACAATTAAATTTAAATTCATTTCAACAATTAAATTTAAATAATAACAATAAAATCATATCAAATAAGAACCATTCTCCTCCTAAATAGGAAAATAGAATTAAGGCACAAGACTACAGTTGAAATTAAATGTCAAATGAACACATCCAAAGAAAGACAATTATCCAGTATGAACTTCTCACCTTTAATTTGTTTGTCAATGATTCTGATTCTCTTTCATGGATTTCTTTATCTTCATTTATCGAACTAAAAACAAGCAGAATTTGTACACATTAACTATACTTACACAAATGAAATGTTTACAATAACAGATACACCAGTGTTTCCCATCAATAGAATGCTATAGAGAGACCTCAATATTGTAAATGTTTTCAGGACTTTCATTATAACACTGTTTGACCCATGGTGTCGCCAGTTTTACCCTGAAATCCACCTTAACCGCAACCATGATTTAGCAATAGTTCAAAGCAGGGTTCTTAATCCATTTCAAAACGAACCCAAATGAGGTCCCAAATGAGGTCCCAAATGAGGTCCCGTAGGAAATGGATTAATTAAAAGCTTACATCCCACTTCTACTCGTTGCCACTGGCAACCTTTGATAAAACTGTCCTGTTTAATTGCAATACATGCTTAAAAGTATCCATGTATCAGAAATGTACAGAAAGAGTACTGATCATTTCTGATACCCGTTTTAGATATCTATCAAGCAATAAGTAGCGGATATCTATCAAGCAATAAGTAGAGGAAGTTTAGTCCGACCCAGATCGCAATTGAGAACGATGCTCTAACCAATGTACATGAAACAACTAGTCAAAATCATAGTAACAAAACAAAATGGGGGAAACTACATGGCAGTTCAAAAACATATACAATGACATTAAATTAACATAACAACATATTACAAAAATCAATTATTATACATATCAATTGGCATCTATTTCATAATTTGGTTTGATTTATATTAATATGCAAAATATATAAATTAGAATATTGAATAATTATTTTAATTAATTGTGATGATAGAAGGCGCAGTTCTCTTGCTGGACACTTCACAGGCATTGAAAATAAGCAGGATGAAAAAAACGCCTAGAAAGTCATAAACTTTATTACAAATAAATTTCAACGGAAGAACCATCCGCCGATGCATACTTTCACCAGGAATGACCCACGTTTCGCATTTCCTTTACACTACATTTAATAATATCGCAGTCCTCTACGCCATAGACAAGTTGTTTTGACGATGTGGTCTAAACAAACACGTGATTGTTTTACGCTCAGAGTATCATAGCAAGACGCACGTGTAAATACTACTCAGGTCGTCTCTCCACTGCGAAATCATTCTACCATGAAATGTAACGTGAGGCTCAGAAAGGGATAAATAATGAAAGAGCAGAATGTTTGTCACTTTTCGGTTGAAATGATTCGATAATAAATACTATTTTTCACACTTTGCTTCACAATACTCGATAGAAATGTGATGTAAGTAACTTATTAGCACCTTTCCTCGGTGTATCGGTGAATATCAGGACAGTTTTGGTCGGGAGCCGCCTCGGCTGGGCCCCTCGACCAAAACTGTCCTGATATTCACCGATACACCTCGGAAAGTGTGCTAATAACTACTACTTACATTCCCTTTAAAAAACTAAACTTCAACAAAAATAATTCTTGGTAATTTGTTATGGAGAATGTCCTATTTTAATGTATGTTTATTACCACAAAAATAATGAGTAACACGTTTTGAAAATTTTCCATATTTAATTCACGTACTAGCTTGTAGTTCACATGAGTAATATTCCAGAATAAAAGTTTTTATTCATTCGTCGATGAAAGACAAACGGCACAATTGTCACGTGACAACAATAATTGAAATTTGCTTTAAAATAAAAATTCTGTACCATTATTTTAAAAATTAAGCCTTTGTAAGAATGTGTATAAAATAAAACCAGCCGTTGCCAGGCAGGATAGGCCCACATTTTGCAAGAGATGGATAGAGAACAAGCAAAACAATCAAGGGCCATAATTCAGGAAGTTACAATCCGATATGCGAGAATATCGACAGGAACAAAGATCTTTGGGTTATAAAGATATATTTCAAGTTTAATCAAAATCATATCAAAATTAAGACCTCTAGAGGGTCCACAACCTTGATATACTATATTTTTACATTATTTGCGTAAGGGGGGGCGGCCATTTTGTCTGGCAATATTGGTCCGATTTTCACGAAATTCGAACTCAGCTGTCATTAGGGTATAATGGTGAAATATTTATTCGTTTTTTTAAAATCGTATAAAAATCATGACCTCTAGAGGAACCACAACTTAAAAGCGTGATTTTCCGTACAATCAGGGGCCATAATTCAGGAAGTTACGATCTGATATGCGCGAATATCGAAAGGAACCAAGATCTTTGGGATATAAACATGCATTCCAAGTTTCATCAAAATCGGATGAAAATTATGACCTCTAGAGCATCCACAACCTTGATATACCATATTTTACACTATTTGGGTACACGGGTCGGCCATTTTGTCCGTCAGTTTTGGTCCAATTTTCAAGAAATCCGGAACTCAACCATCATTATGGTCTCTAACGGTTATATATTTTAAATTGGATAAAAATTGGGACCTCTAGAGGAACCACAAGCTAAAAACGTGATTTTTTGTACAATCAGGCCCATAATTCAGGAAGTTATGGTCCGATATGCGAAAATTTTGAAAGGAACCAAGATCTTTGGGTAATAAATATGTATTTAAAGTTTCATCAAAACCGGATCAAAATTGTGGCCCCTACAGGGTCCACAACCTTGATATACCATATATTTACACTATTTGCGTATGAGGGGCAGCCATTATGTCCGGCAAGATCTTTGAGTAATAAATATTTATTTCAAGTTTCATCAAAATCGGATCAAAATTGTGGCCCCTAGAGGGTCCACAACATTGATATACCATATTTACACTATTTGCGTATCCGGGTGGCCATTATGTCCGGTAATATTGGTCCGATTTTCATGAAATTCGAACTCAAGCACAGTGATGCGATTTCAAATTTTTTATTGTTCGACATTTTTTCCCGAAAATAAAGGGGCATATCTATTATCGTTATTTAAGCAGGCATGTTTAAACCACAATTAAGAATCATGTCTCAACAAAATATTCAAATTCATATGTAATAAAAAAAAATAGATGCAGCTCGTTATTTTTCATGTTTACTTCCCGTACGGTATTGAAATTTATGTCAATAATATTCCTACAAAATTACATGACATCGTAACACCATAGAATGAAAGTGAGCTGACTATTGCCGATCAGTACCTGTTTCAAATTCCTCCATAAGTCGATACATTTTTCAGAAGTCCGGCATTCGTCTTATACTCCGTGTGGATTTATATACGGAAGGTAAAAAGATGACATCCCGAAATTTATGTGGCAGTAAACGTAGCTCTACCACAACAAGCAAGTGACACCAACTACTAAATAATCGCATTCGACTCTAGCATGCACTATTGTCTAAAACAATTAACTACTTACATTATTCCAATCAAAATAATCGTCAACATTTCTTAGCGTGTTTATTTATTTAAAACATAAACCCTATTCAAAATATGATCAGAAATCCGAGAATATGCCATCAAAATAGAATTTTTCTCCGGCATCAGACGTAAGAGATTCGGCACGTTTACATCTCTTAATGTCACGTATCTCGTGAGATTTCTACTTTCATTTCTGTTATTGTACTACACCCCCCCCCCCCCCCACTCGGCAAACCTCAGCAGATTCCAGTACCCTACTATCACCTCTAGTTCATATTTACACAATTAATTACAGGTATGTACAGGTAAGTCTGGCCGGAGATCCCCCAGAAATATGGAGATATTACCAAAGATACAGTTTATTGAGCACTAGCAATTGTCATATAATAATAATATATTTCGATAATTATGTCAAATGCCCCATATGTACATATTATATACATGTAATACCTATATATTTACAAAAATAAATAAATCTCATTAACACAAATTTGCAATCTATTCATTCACAATACTACAATATAATTTTTATATGCCCACACTGAAATGCTTCTGTAAACAGGAACGTCTTTAGCTGAGATTTATATGCATCTAGGGAGTCAGTGGTTCTAGTGTTGTAAGGAAGTGAATTCTATAAGAGAGGAGCAAAGAATGAGAACTGATGGTTGATACAGAAATTGTTTATCTGTGGATCTAAGAGTTCTTGTTGATTTATATGGGGTAATCAGATCTTTGATATATTTTTGTGACTGATAATAAGATAAGAATTTTATTGATAAACTATGTAACGGCTTGAAAGTCAACAGTAATATTTTGAACGTGATTCGTTGTTGAACTGGGAGCCAATGAAGATTTTTTCAGGATTCGGGTGATGTGTTTAATTTACCTAAAAAATAAATAAAATATGTAAATAATATCATGAAATAATTCTCTTCTCCCAGAAAAGTAAAAACAATATAGAAATAAAGATTTAAAATCTAAGAAAAATAAAAAAAATAGGACACAAAGAGGTTTAAATAAATTAAAAAAAGAAACATAAGGCAACACAAATAAAATAAGTTGTTTCTCGGGCACCGCCCGCACGCAAAATTGGTTGCGCGTGCGGCCTATTCATTAGTCTTGATGAAAAATAAAAAAATATGTAACGCCCGCCCGAACATCGATAAGCAAGTCATGAAAAGAATATGCCGCATGTATCTACATGCCCCATACGTGAATATCCATTCAAATGTATTAAACTGATTCAGATGTAAACGCTCATTTACAGGTCTTTTTTATTGATATCGAAAGAACCTCCATTTTTGTATCACGTGATTTTAATTACCTCCCCTTGTGAACTAGAATTTGATTCGTGTTAAACACCGAAAGTCATTGACAACAATGCAATGTATTTCAATCATTCGATCTTAATCGGCTCATTATTGCCGGCTTCAGTCGGTCCATGTTTGAAAAAATCCTACTTATAAAACAATGAATCGTAGAACAGGTTAATTATTATAACCTGTGGCTTTGAATACGATACGACGATAGTCACCATACCTTATTCAGAATCTGGGTCATTAGCACATTTAACGGTAGTTTTGATAATCCGGAAAATAATAATTGGATTACACATTTGATGGTTTTACTGACCAGTTGTTAGTTTTATTTAAATAGTCATTCGATATAAACCCCAGATAGAACACCGAATATCCTGAGAAACAGTCATTTCCCGATGACACGTGACATGCATTGGTTGGAATTAGGTCAATCATTATAAACCAGCGATACTAGATTTAGATCTAAGTGTCGTTTCCCGTGATGATTATTTTTGATACACATGCTGACAGAGGCTTACTCTTTAAAATATTGTCGTTATTATGGATGGCTATTAATAGTCGTACGGAATTTTATTTTAAACCAATTTCAATTATGGTTGTCACCATTACCATTAGTAAGCTACGTACATTACGTGAATTAAATATGGAAAATTATTTTCCTTTCAGTCAGTGTTCAGTGTTTGAGTAGACTTGATTTTTGGGTTTATATTCTAAGTATGTATAATATACTATTCAAAAAAAGTAGGGGATATTTGATTTTGGGGGCATAATACTAAAATATGCAAATGACTAAGAAAAAAGTCACTATAGAACCTAACAGAAGAAACATTTCCAGTTACATGTGACGCCCAAACGCACCAATAGCTACCGCATGGAATGCAGGTGATGCTTGGGATCATCATGGGGGTCAAACCCAAGATTTGCACGACTCTGACTTTGAATGTTACAGTCATTGTGGCATTGAATTCCAGGGTGGAAACATCAGTTTAATTGTTTTAGTGACCAGAAAACAAATTTTGATATGCGTCGGCTTACCCAAAATGAAAGGTTACGTGCCCTTGGCATGCTACAGATCGGCACAACACAGGCGGTTGTGGCCCGGACGATGAATGTTTCTCAGTCTGTCATAAGCAGGCTATGGTCCAGATACCGTGATACACAATCTGTACAGGACAGACCACGCTCAGGTCGACCAAGGGCGACAACTCAAGCCCAGGATCGATTTATCCGTACCTTGGCCTTGAGAAATCGTGTCATCACAGCAAATCAGATCAGCGCTCGTCTTCAAACAGACACTGGTGTGAGAGTGAGTGGCCAGACGATTCGGAATCGACTGCATAGGGGTCACCTTCGCGCCCGACGTCCTCGCGTGATCCCTTGTTTGAGAGATCATCACATTCAGGCAAGACGTCGTTGGTGTTCGGATCGTCAACACTGGGATAATCGACGCTGGAGCAATGTGATGTTTTCAGATGAGTCAAGGTTCACTGTTGATTTTTTGGACAGACGTAGGAGGGTGTGGCGTCGTCGAAACGAGCGCTTCCAAGACGTTAACGTCATCAGACATGATCGATTTGGGGGTGGTTCTGTTATGGTGTGGGGAGGCATCACTGTTGCTGGAAGAACGGCTTTACATGTTGTTGCAGGGCGTGTTACAGGCCAGTACTACCGGGACAACATCTTGGCAGTCCATGTTGTGCCGTTCGCACGACGTCATGGCCGCCGTTTCATCTTCCAGGATGACAACGCAAGATGTCACAGGGCCAGGATCGTTACAGGTTACCTCCAACAACAGAACATCACCACATTACCTTGGCCAGCACTGAGTCCCGACCTCTCCCCCATCGAGCATGTCTGGGACATGCTTGGACAGAGGTTACGTCAACGTCAACAACCTCCTACCAATGTCCAAGAACTTGCTGCTGCGTTGCAACAGGAATGGGACAATCTGGACCAAAATGACCTTAGACGTCTCATTAGGAGTATGCCACGTCGGATCAATGCTTGTTTGGCAAACAGAGGAGGATTTACCCGTTACTGACTTGGTTGTGATGCTGTGGTAACTTTGCTGTTTGACCCCGGGTATCATTTTACCCTTATAATGGTCAGTCTGTGCCTTACTTAGTCTAACGATCATTTGGAATAAATCGATGAATGTGAACTTCATTTCATTTTGTCATCTGTTTCTTCGTCAGTTTCATTAGGTGACTTTAATAACACTAAAAATCCAATATCCCCTACTTTTTTTGAATAGTATATATAACTGAAAGCAAAACCGTAGACAAGTAATGACTTTCTCATTAAAAAAAAAAAAATACAAGGTCGGCCTCCCGCCCCAACAATTTTCAACAATAGCCAAATTTTATTTTGCACCATCCTCTAGCCAGAAATGAGGTAAGAAAAAAAAATAAACCGCCCTCCCCCCCTACAGTTTCAGCTGTCAGTTGCCCGAGAAACAAGACATTTATTTTGTGTAGCCTAAGGAAAAGTAAAAATGGCCTCAGGAAGTATATCTGTAGTAACTTAAAATTCATTGCACTTATTGCAGGTAGAAATATTTTAAAGCCAGCTTAGTACAAACAGGCCTAGTAAACAAATGCATGTGCTCGTAAAGTTTGTAAACAAAGCTGTAGACAAATCAGATGGGGCCAAATGAGTCACATCACAAAGGCGCAGATGTTATTATCAGTCTTCCATCAATTTCTCGCAACCATAAAATGATCGTTCGCAAGCATAAACTCGAGTGAAAATTCTCACAGAAATAGCTAAAAAGTAGATCTGTAGTTTTATTAAAGTACTTACTTCAGTTTTCGTTAAAAATCTGTGGTTTTCTTTTTACGGTTTTACAATTTTTTGCTGATCTGAAAACTAAGATAATATGCAAATAAAGTACCAGCAATAAATTCAATTGTATTGCAACAAATCTGAGATTACTGAAACAAATTAAGAAGAAAGATAAATGGAGTTTGATGCCCACTCAACACATTTTGACACTAACATACTTGACTAAATGACAGATCTTATGACTAAAGCGCATGTGTCCAACCACTTGATCAACCGACACCCAAAAAAATAATTTTTAAAAATTAAAAAACTAAATAACAATTTACCTCTGCAAGTCTGCATTGAAATAAAAATTAAATGCATTGCCATGTTCATAAAATTATTAACTGAATTTGTTGCAATATTCAAATAAATAAAACGTTTTACAATCTAAGAAAAATCAAGAAGAACACAAAATAAGATGCAAAGAGATTTAAATACATGGCCTCAACAGTCAAGGTGTGTATCTGCATTAACTTAAAATTCATTGCAGGCATAAATGTTTTAAAATCGATCAATACAAAAAGGAATAGTAAACAAACATGTGTGCTTGTAAAGTTTGTAAATACAGCTGCTGTAGACAAATCATATGACGCCAAATGAGTCACTTGACCAAGAGGCAATGTCATTATCGGCCGTCCATCAATTTCTCGCAACCATAAAATGATCGTATGCAACCATAAACTTGAGTGAAAATTCGCACAGAAATAGCTCAAAAGTAGATCTATCGACTGATTATAGTTTTATTAAAGTACTTACCTCAGTTTTCGTTAAAAATTGTTGATCTTCGTACCTGTTTACCAATTTTTGCTTGTCTGAAGCTTAAAAAATTTCACCGACGGCCATTTTTAATAAATTCGCGAGGGGTTGTGGGTGGAATCAAATAATGTTCTCTTTCAAAATGTAAACAAAAAAAAAAACAGTCGGAGGCAAATTTTGTAGGAGTACAATTTTCCGGCGTTGCGTAATAGTGGATGACGTCTGCAAGTCGAAAGCGAGAAATCTCCACTGCAGCAAGTGGGGTATTTTCACATACCTACATAGTGGCCGGTTCATTGTTTTACCAATCGGCTTAATTGAACTTCAAACGGCTAAAGTCGACAAAATACACCCGGTTAAGATCCCTGGTTCAAAGTATACAATTACAATACGCAGAGAACAATTTGTACTATTTACCGTTTGAGATTTGCTATAGTAGTCACATGGTCTTGTACAGAGACTTGTGTTTCTGCTGACATCATTAAAATATCATTTTTATGTTTGGCTTCGCGTAGCTTTATTTTCAACTCCTCCATATTTCTTTCTGACTCAATTTTATCGGCTTCTGTTGAAGTCAACTTTTTGGTCAGCCTAGTGACTGAAAATAGAATGAATCACAACAGAATGACTAGCAAAAATCTAAATTAAAACAAAGAAATACCAATGAATCTGATGACACTGATACAGAATAGACTCAACTATCCTGAACAATTAATATCTCTAATCAATAACAATTAGGTATCATTTGAATCATTAGATATCATACTACAACACTAATTAAAACTACAACAAAGACACTGGTAATGAATAATTAATGATATCATCTTATTCACATTCTTGAATGCTGATACAAATCTGTTCATGTGTTATCAGTTTCATAACTGTATATACAGATTCATATTCACATCAGGTTAACAAAGTATACCACATGTATACGCATAGATAGCTACACAGCTCTAACCATTGGTAAAGTGCACGACTGGGAGCTCGCAATGGGCAATGGCATTTGTCTAATATTTGAACTGTGCTGCTTACAACTATTTAAAAGTAATAAAACAGTTGTATGGGGTAAAAAGACTAAAAGCTTCAGATTTGTCGATAAATGTCAAGCCTTATTTGCAGGAAATTATTGCTCATTTAACCCTGGCTTTATAAGAAAGCAGCGACGATAGGGGCTGTTTCAAAATAACACAAACAGTTTAATATGAGAAAAGGATTGGATAACATGAATAGTTAAAGTATCCGCAATGTTATATCCATGAACGGATATTCGGATACAAGTTTCAACACTAATGATTAGCCTATAACCTACTCAATCACCAATTGTTATTTGTTATAAAAGGAAAAGAAAGGAATGGGGTTAAACTTCTTATCAACATGACTTTAGCGTAGATGTCATTAGAAGTCGGCAACCGGCAATTTTCGCTGTTTACATTAGGCCAATTTCCGGCTACTTTTCAGCTAAAAAAGATCAGCAATTTTATTTTAATAAAATACTTTTGCGTAATATTAATTGAAACTAATTTAATTCCTAAACAGCAAGCACACAGACGTATTAACTAACCAGTTTTTTCTGTGAGACTCACGGATTCACTGCTTTAAAGAAAGCAAATTTCTGTTCCAAATTATGACTGGTCAATGGTCCGATTAACAACCAATAACTAACTGCGTTACAAAAGCATTACACTTAAAACAGCTCCAAATTGGACCAAATATGTTTACATAAAGTTACATCATGACTCACAATTTTATTATGCCCAATTAACCAGTACATAGCAGAATATTGCAGAAAAACTAATTGTGTGACAAACGAGGCTATCAAATCGAAAACAATGTCAACAATACTGTTTGGAGACGAACATATTTTCACCGTTTTTAATACCTTATATCACTGTCCAAAGTTTTAGGGAAGACCCAGATTAAACGAAGGGCTGTCATGATTGTACTGGTAGCAGAGTAAATGAGCGTACCTAATAAAATAGAGACCTGTACTGACTGTACAAGGTCTGTTTCATTACTGTCATTTTTTTTCTCGTGACTAGTAGTAAACATCTATGCGATTTTGACAGTTCTCCCGCAAAGAGAAAACGTTTCACGCCACGTGACGTTAGCGTGAAATCGGAAGCCATTGGCATTGAGTGATTGACTCAAATTTAGCTGACTTTCAATCTGCGATTTTAGATTACTTTTGGGTTTAATAAATATATTAATAGCGGTTGTATTATAATGCTTTAATATCGATCTCAATATATGAAAATAATCGAACTCAAAAGTTATAGAAATATAATGCTATTACTGTTTATGTGGGAGGCACACCCATAATTAGAAAACGGGATTTATCGGTTTTGCAGACTAAAATTTGCTAATTCCGAATAAATGCAGTCTGCCTTTTATCTGATATAAAGAAGATCAAACATATTTTATGTATTATTCAAATTGTTACGATTTTATAAGTTTTAGCTAAACTAATTTTCGCGAATTTCAGTTTTAAAATTGGTAGATGTGCAATTCTATAAGGCTTATCTTATGACGTCACTCAGATATGACTGAAAAGCACTTATTTGGATTATTAAAGTTTTTTGGATAGATTTTTTATGTATATTTTCACAAAATATTCAAAAAAACTTTCTGTCATTTAAAATTTTGACCTGAAACGCACCTAATGCCATAACACACTCCCCACCCTTCCGTTTGCTCGCAGATTCGGGCCTGCGGCCCTAAACATTTGCTCCCCCTTACTTTAACAAAATTACCTGTTACTTGAAAAATTTGTGACATCCCTGACTTTAGTCATTTTGAGACAAAAATGGTAACTTTTTTTTATTTTGCCCAGACAGGTGTGTGTCAGCCTACTCCTTTTTCCAATTACAACTGCCAAGGGATCTTTTACATGGACTACCAATTCATACACAAGATCTTTTTTACTGTTCCTAACAACTAGACACATTTTTACAGTTAGTCACGCAGGCGCCACCAATAACAAGAGGCAATAGGTTTGAAAATCATATTAGGAGTATTATACTTTGGGGGGGGGGGGGCTTATGTTGACCTTGCAACTGAAAGCATCTGGCATTTCCGCAACTGGGAGCATGTGACTGTTGATGATGATGTCGACAATAATATATTGATAGAATTGTTGCAAAACCGGCCATGCCTTTGGTGTGCTTCTTCTACATGTAAGTTATTTGACATTTTGTTGACCATGTGATGAATATATTAACACTTGCAACTGGCAGCAACTAGTTGCTGCCAGTTGCAAAGTTGACCAATCTGATTACCATACAGATCTATATTGCGTTTCATTTTTTTAATATTTTCAATGGCCTCCACTGCATGCAGATCTGACCAGCTGTAGTGGGAGGTCGCGTCGGTGTCATATAACAAATCTTCCAGATCCTAGTGTAGTAAAACGAAATTTTGAACTATAAAAAAACGAAAAAGTTTTAATCAGATTGAAAGTTGACATAAGCCCCACTTTATTTTATATTTTAGGAACAAAATGGCACACTGAAATAAATCTGAATGTTTAACAGTATTCACAAGAAACCATCAATGACATACCTTCATTTAAATGAGCATTATACATATCTTTAGATTTACTTTGTAAAACTTCTATTTGTTCCATTAAAATCTGGTTTTCTTCTAAAACAAGACGTGCTTGTTCTTGAAGTTGCTGCCTGAAAAAATAATACAAAATCAAAGCAATTGATTATTTTTCTGAAAATCATTCAACTTCCAAGTTACCTATTTTTTTCATGAAGCACTTGCTTTAAACTTACATTCCCAATGCTTTAAACTTACATTCCCAATGCTTTAACCCTTTCAATGCTAGATATAAATCCACTGCCTGTGCTAGACCCTTTTTTGAGGAAAAGAGGGGGGTTGGAACTGAATGCCAAACAGTACTTATGGAAGCTTTTATGAAAAATTGTTTTGTCTGTTAGGATGGGCATGAGGTTGGGCTAAGAGGAAAAAATAGAATTTTGGAAATCTGCATAATAACGTAGTCACGTGACGTCATGGCGGCCATTTTTGATTTCTCATTTTTCACTAAAGCTAACACGAAAACGAATTTTTCTCCATGAAATACTTATGAGATATTGTTTTTTTCACTGGATTTTGATAAAGATATATAAAATGAACAAAAATATCAATAGCAGCCATGAGCAATGCCACCACGAACACGCGCATCACATCTCCCGCTGCCATGACCATGTGCGGATTGCAATACCTTGTTTTCACTTTCACCCCCAAGTCCCATATCATTATCAATATAGTCAGTCAATAGATCTACACGTTCGGGACTCAGGAATTGCCTACGTCCTTTACGATCCAGCAGGTCAGAATTATTATCAACATCAGAATTATTGTCAGAATCTACTGCAGACACAGGGCTATCGTGTTCACATTGGGCTTGTTCATCATGCACGGGAGACATAGCCATAGGCGGAACGTCGCGCAACAAATCACACATGTACTTCATAATACCAATCACTGTCCTCACTACTATCATTATCAAGTAACTGGAAACGAATTATGTGTATCACCCGCCTCGAAATTGTCCACGTGTTGGTCTGCAAGACGTCATTCACGACTTCGTCGAGAGTGCATCTGTCACTATGCACTCCGCCATTTTACGGTTTGACGCTTTGAAACAAGTGGAAATATGTTCTAGTGTATAGAAAATACAATAGATGGCACTTACAGTTACGGTACTAATTTTAACGAGGGCTTTAGTGAGTACACGGTAATACCGGGTACTCGTATTTTAACAACATTTTATAATACCCAGTACTACCGGGTAGATGCAATGAAAGGGTTAAACTTTCATTCTTAATCTTAACACCTTAAAATGACTAAATATCTTTGATTTGGGTTGAAAACAATCTGATTATAACACAGATCCTATTTCGTTTCGTTTTTTATAGTTCAAAATTTAGTTTTACTTGTCTTTACTACACATGGATCTGGAAGAGTTGCTATATAACCCGCGTTCTGGATGATGTGAGGGATTAGGCAATGAAACGGTCTGTTACGGCAAGTTTTTGGTGCATGGAACTGTCGGTAACCATCTAAAACCATCAAAGCTTATTAGTTAATTAAATGTCTGACGTGATAGGGTCAAAAGCTGCTTGCATGACCTCTGACGCGAGCTTTTATTACAACTGTCAGATCTTCATGTAATGTAAGCCATCGAAAGTATAAACAAATGAAACAAAATATAGATCTGTATTTTAATCAGATTGGGTCAAAAATGAAAATGGTCAATTTCTGTGGATTTTGTATGTAGAATTGTTTTGTGGGATGACAATCTGTCTATTAAAAAGTTTTTACCCACCATTCCGTGGAATCAATTGGACCTATTTCATTACCATAACCACCTTGAATTCTTAAGTTTTTATTTTCTTTGGCTATTTCAACTGCTCTTTGTTTTAAAATATCTAACTCCATCTATACAAAAGACATTTAAATAAATTATCTATATTATGTATAAAGTTATCAATATATCGGTAGCCTAGAATTAATAATTATTACTTCTAACTGCGAAATCAACAGCTGAAATATTCAGGACTTCATTGATACATCAAATAAAATGAAGCCTACTTTTATGCACCAACTGGGCTATAATTCAATTTTATTTCAATAATAACTGGGTAAATAAAGATGGGCATATGTTATTCAGTCTGCGATGAGGGAAATTTGCCTCAACAGCAGTGTTTCTGTCTGTTGTTGATCGAATCATCTAGTTCGTAAGCCAGTGCCTTACCTACTGATGAGTCACTATATGGCTCCTCAGAGATTGTTTGAAAATCATCTTATACAACTTTGGATTTATATTTAGCATTATAACCCTGTCAGGCATGTTACCTCAAGACCCTTGTCTATATACAACCTCTTTATTGTTATGACAAGTAACATTGTTACAATCCATCAAAGGCATCCTAGTTAGTTCAATACAAACAATCAGTTGTCAAAGCTCTGTACAACCCTGGTAAGTAATCTACTGACCCCGGTAATAAATTTGCAAACCCCACCAAGAAGCCAACCCCAGTAATCACGTCAATTAGTAACTATGGAAACCTCGCCAGGGTTTGGGAATAGTATAAATAAAAAAAGCCTGCCACGTGAGTCCAATCAGTCTAAAGAGTTCAATATGAAAGAAACTAGACACTGACACCTGGGATAACCAGGACTTCATAGTCACTCAAATCTCTTATATTATACAATTACAATTAATCTCTAGGGGTTTATCTAACGCCATACAAAAAAAAAGTTTCTGGTTCTCAGATGATCCATCAGAAACATCTATTGTGGGAGGGAGGTTTTTACTTTTGTATTCTTGTTAAAGAATCATGTAGCTAAATGTTTTACAACAAACATCACAATTCAGGGTTCTATATTTGTATCATCTTCAGTTTATTCATGCTGTAGAATTCACTTACGTAATAAAAAATTATCATGGTATGCTAATTGAAAGTTTATTTACAAGCAGTAACTAGTTCAGCCATTGTCTCTTGGTCTATATATAAAAGCACAGACTTGTAGTTCTAATGGTTGGGTGGCCAAATGGTTTAATGCATTTGCTTTAAATCATAAGGTCTGTCTTTGATACAAGTGGCTTGTGCAACCTCGTTGATTTTCCCTGATTGCTTTGGTTTCTTCCCACTGCTATAAACCCCTACGTGCAAGTGAATTATCAAAAAACAAATTGATCTGCATGTTAGTCCCAAAATGACCCAGTTTGTGTTGAGCTACATCTCTCTCCTTTCATCACTAATCTCAATGGAGTATAGTTTTAGTTTTTTGTATCTTTATTACAAGATTAATTAGTTTGCAGGATACTTTTCAAGTGATACGGCAGTATGTGAGAACCAGAATATTTACCTGATATTTATGAATATGTTCATCTTTGGCATTTAACTCATCATCATATGCTAAAAATAATGGTGCTAAATACTTCTTACTGATCTGTAAATACAGGTAATTATAGATTAAATATATTACTTATTAATTACTGTTTCAGTCAGATAAATTTATCAATTCTAAAACATGTATTGCTGCATTGTGGATGGTTTTCAACATAACTATCTTTTGCATTAGTAATGATCATGATATCACCATTTAGAGGAAAACCCAAAACTAGACTGTAAAGTAATTTTAAAATTAATACAAAACATACTAACCAACCAAGATGGTACCGGTCCATTTGATGGCAACCCTTGTAACTTCATTTTCTACAATATAATTTCAAAAAGTTTATAATGAAATAATGCTAAGTAGAATAAATTTTCAGTTGGTCCGGAATGTTCCGAATTAACAGAATTGTAATCGAGTGACATGGAATTCAGTCATCCTAGTTCTACCAATCTCAATAATAGTGATGGTCCAATAATCGGTTTCAACATCGGTAATTGGCCGATAAGTGGCCTATCGGAAGAAATCAGTATCAACCAATATTCAGCCATCTTGCTGATACTGGAGTCGCTGATATCTGTTCAATAGGCCTTGGTAAATAACTCTAAAATATCATTCAAGTTGTGAACAATAAAATTATTAATTTTCTTGACACTCAGTCCGATTATTTTAGTTGCCGTACGCAAGACAATTTAGACACAATACGCAGAGGTCGTAAAAGGAAATAATAAACAGTGCAAAATCCTTACTGGTCTACATTATTTTTTTAATCCTTATTCACACTTTGTTTGAGAGTTTGGGTGTATTGATGCGTTTTTTTTTTTTAAAGAATACTGTTTCTGCTCATGTACAGACAGACATAAACATACAACAGTCCACCCTATAAAACATGTGACTGGAATATGGAATAAGCCCATTGCATGATGATCAAAAAGATAGAATTAGAGAACACATCGGAGGCCTCTCTTCAATCCCATTTCAATGCGTGCTGAAATTGTACGTCATCATGCAAAGGACTTACACCAGAAATAAGAGATCACAAACTCGAACAATAATACCTATTTAGGTTTTTGAATTTTATTTTAAAATTTTTAACCTATGAAATAAACAATGGTCCTCTTTGGATCACTGTAGGTGATGTGAAACAGTTCCAAATCTTACTACTTCGCTGCATTTTTTCTTCATTTTATCTAATTCACTACGGTACTGGTATACATGTGATTGAGATGAAGGATGGAAAGGGGAGGGGGAATAGGGGGGGGGGGGGAATGGCGGGAGAATATCAAGTGATTGCCACTGTTGACAGAGGGGAAGCTAGCGCTTTGATGTCGTATTATTACAACATGAACTATTCTGACATAGATATAATACAGGTGCCGACCAAGTTTGGGAATTATATCGTACTCAACATTTAATAACAGATAATCTCGACTTTATTTATAATTAATTCAGCAAATAATTTTAATTCACAATAGATGGTGTGTATTTTTGACTGCGGAGGAGGTGTGACCCAATTATTTTTTCATTAAAAAAACATAGCGTTCCGCTTTGATTCCCGAAGTAAAATAGTACCAGGAGTTTCCCGACTAACAATGACATGTAACTACATCGATTATCATGACATTCAAGACATTCTATTAATTCTAATGTGTAAAAGTTTTATATCCAACACTGTCGGTAATTGTATCTATATCGACCAATATATTTCGCTGTCAATATCTGATATCGGTAAAACCGATAGTAGCCATATTGTACCATCACTACTCAGGTAATCAAACACAGTGAACATGAGGCCTTCACACAAATAAATTCTTGGAAAGTAAAAAAAACCAGCGGCTGCCAGGCAGGATACACCCACATTTTGCAAGAGATGGATAGAGAACAAGCTAAAAACAAACAGGATTTTTTGTACAATCAGGGGCAATAATCCAGAAAGTTATGTTCTGAAATGCGTAAATATCAAAAGGGATTGAGATCTTTGGGATATAAAGATATGTTTTAAGTTTCATCAAAATCGGATAAAAATTGTGACATCTAGATGGTCCACAACCTTCATATTGCATACCTGTACAAAGAGCGGACATTTTGTCTGGCAGTTTCATTTCGATTTTCCCGAAATTCGAATTCAGCATTCATTATGGTGGAATGGTGATATATTTAAATGTTTTTTTAAAATCTGAACTCAATCAAAATTACGGTGTAACGGTGATATATTCGAACGTTTTTTTAAATCGGATAATAATTGTGACCTCCAGAGGAATCACAAGCTAAAAACGCAATTTTTCATACGATCAGTTGCCATAATTCAGGAAGTTATGATCCGATACCCGCGAATATCGAAAGGAACCAATATCTTTGCGTTATAAACATGTATTTCAAGTTTCATCAAAATTGGATCAAAATTGTGACCTCTAGAGGGCCAAGATTGACAGTATTTGTCATTACTGGAAAGTTTATTTAAACTATTAAAGCGAGCGGATAACAAGCGCACTAGGAGATCAAGGGCAATTGCACTCTTTTACGTGAAGGCCTGGAACTGATTATAGCTGTCGTGTTTGGTTGAGACCTTTTCTTATTAAGATGTAGCAACTGTTGTAGCCCAAAATCCCTTTTTCATACAATGTCACTTTTAATGGGAATGAGAGAATACAACTTCGGAACATTCAGTTATACCTGTTTTTCTGTTAATGGTCTATAATGTGCTTGATATTGACTTAGTTCCTGATTAACACGATGTACTGATGATTTCAGATGTTCATTTTCTTCCTTTAATTCATCTACTTTTTGTTGAAATCCTAGTGAAGCTGCTCTTTCGAGATCTAAAAAAATAACAATCATTTGTAAAAAAATAATTGACATCATTTTCTAAGTGTGCATGGATACCTTCAAGTCTCATGAAGTAATAATACTATATCATGGTACTGTACTAATTCAGATAGGTTTCTAACTTTTTAATGACCTGTAGATTAAATTCAGTAACAGGAGATTCTTTTCCTTAGGAAGAACTTATTATTAAAATAATGGAACAAAAACAAAACAAGCGGTTGCAATGCAAGATATGCCCTCATTTTGCAAGAGATCGATAGAGAACAAGCTAAAGAAGAAAATGTGATTTTTCGTACAATCTGGGTCCATAATCCAGTAACTAATGGTCTGAAATGCGCGAATATCGAAAGGAACTAAGATCTATGGGATATAAACATATATCTTAAGTTCCATCAAAATCGGACAAAAACTGTGACCTCTAGAGGGTCCACAACCTTCATATTACATACTTTACACTATTTGCGTACATGGAGCGGTCATTTTGTCAGGCAGTGCCAAGCTCGACCTTCTTTACGGTGCAACAGTGATATATTTAAACGTTTTTTAAAATTGGATAAATATTGTGACGTCTAGAGGGTTCACAAGCTAAAAATGTGATTTTTTGTCGAACAGGCCTTAATCCATAAAGTAATGGTCTGATGTGTGCAAATATTGAAAGGAACTGAGATCTTTGGGATATAAACAAATCTTTTAAGTTTCATCAAAATCGGATTAGAAATATGACCTCTAGAGAGTCCACAATCTAGGTATTACATTCTTTTACACTATTTGCGTTATGAAATTCAAACTTAACCATCAACTATGATATATTTAAACGATTTTTAAAATGTGATTTTTTGGTTGAAGGGCCCATAATCCACGAAGTTATGGTCCGATATGCGCGATTATTGAAAAGGACCGAGATCTTTGTGATATAAATACGCTTTATCAAAATCGGATCAAAATTGTGACCTCTAGAGAACCTACAAAATTGATATTACATACTTTAACGCTATTTGGGTACATAGGGCGGCCATTTTGTTCGGCATTTTCGGTCTGATTTTCACGAAATTCGAACTCAACTGTCAATATGGTGTAACAGTGATATATTCAAACGTATCTTTAAATTGGTTAAAGATAGGTTGCCAGACAACGAAACATACACCCACAGCTGCAGCACAGCAGCTAAATTGTCTGAGCGGTCATAAGAGTTGTCGCATATTTATTCTTTTGTTGGTAATTGGGGGCATTTACAAGACAATTTCATACAGATCAGAATATATTTTTTATAGTTTAAGGACCTTAACTCTATAAAAGTAAATTACTGAAAATTTGACAGGCTTTTTTGTTTTACTAATTTAAATAATGCATATAAATTTCATATAGATCAGATGATAACTTTTGGCATTAGAGCGTTCACAAGTTTCAATAAAGTGAAATAAGGGCCATAACTCTAGATGTAATTAACAGAAATTGCTGAAATTCAACAGGATTCTTATTTTTACTAATCTATATGATGCATATAAATGTCATACAGATTGGCAGATAACTTTTGCTGCTAGAGTGTTCACAAGATGCAACAAAGTGGAACAAGGGCCATAACTTTAGAACTAATTAACAAAAATTATTGAAATTAAACAATGCAAGAGCTAAATCTGCCTACTGCAGGTCTTTCTTTGGGTCTGAAATGTTATATAAACTATTAATTAGACATTTATTAACATGAAAAGACCTTGATCAACTCTCGATGTCATCTTATGTGTCAGAGTTTCATTGGATTTGATTCCGATTTGCTGCTCAACGCCCATTGATGATTTAATCCAAAAATGGATAATTGAGACCATGTTTTTTTTATCGTGCCAACTTTAGTAATGATGATCGAAGGCTATGCCTAAAATTCAAAAGCTAATATCTCGGTTCAGAGCAATTTGACTGACATTTCCAGCATATTTCCTGTACATTTTCAGTTTTTAACTATACAGTTAATTAGTTTTTAACTAATGTATCTTTAAATAGGATTCTTCATCTCACTAATGTAAACACAAAGTGACATTTTTGAAGAGTATATATCGATATTAAAACAATCGGATGATAACTTTTGGTGTTCACAGATGGCCAACGGACTGACAGATAGACGAGGGCGACGGCAATATACGTCCACATTTCGATGTGGGAGTATAAAAATTGTGACCTGTAGAGGGACCATTAGCTAAAAACGCAATTTTTCGTACAATCAGGGGCCATAGTCCAGGAAATTATGGTCTGATATGCGTGAATATCGAAAGGAACTGAGATCTTTAGGTAATTAACATACATTTCAAATATCATCAAAATCGGATACAAATTGTGACCTCTAGAGTGTCCACAAGGTAAGAACATGATTTATCATAAAATCAGGCCATAATCCATGAAGTTATGGTCCAATACATGACAATATCGAAAGGATCCAAATTTCGTCAAAATTGGATAAAAATTGTGATCTGCAGACTGTCCACAAACAAATTGTGGACATATAACAAAACTTTATCATATAAAGAAGACTGTATAGAGTTTAGAATAATGCCAAAAATTTCCTTCTAACCAACTACTCTTCTGCATAAAACTACCAATAAACAATGTTTGAATAAATGTATCTTTATAACAACTAAATGCTTATGACTCATATATTAAACAAGCTTCTAATGGGGAGAGTTAGGATAGGAACAAAACAATTTATGCCAAGAGTGAAGTCCATTAAATGTTCAGTGGTATCTAATGTGATAATTTCTGCAATTAAAACTTCACATCTGTAGATTCATTCAACTTGCATTCATTATATTTCTACGTTTTACTGGATGCTTCTGCCCAGGTAGAAGCGACTGATATAATTTAACACTACAGAGAAAAGCTATAGTAGTTACAATGTATTAGCCTCTGATCGAAAAAAGTGCTGTCTGTTCCAATGTAACAAACACATTTCCATCCCACCATAACAGTACATTTTTAATCTTAATTTAAAATTTCTAAAATAAGTTCATGTACCTCCTTCACTAATGGCTGTAGCTACATCACGTAAAGTACCCAACTCTTTCTGCATCTCAATATTTTCTTGTTGTAGTCTTTCATTCTCCATACTAATATGCAATGTCTTATCTTTTATCAATACAGTTTCTTTATCATGTCTTGAATGATGCGTAGTGCTTCTGTCTGAACGATGGCCTGATCTAGCTATAATTCAAAGTTATCATTAGCGAAAAGAAAAAAAATATACCATATTTATGCATAGTTCAATTCATTTGTATCTAAATTAGAGAGAAACAAAGAATGTTAAACAGGTGTGCAATTAGTGCTTAATAATAATTACATAAAGAAGAAAAACAAACGTATGAAGGGCAAAAACGAATCATGCAGCATCTACAGTGCAGTTTATTTAACACAGTGTGCAATTTCGAGACATGGTTAACAAAACGTTAATAGGCTTTCCTTTAATCTTTCAATTTTCTATGAAGTACCTCTAGGTACCAAAGCAACAAATTTTTCATCAACCTAATAACTATGAACATTATATTTTCTGATAGAATAATCTCAATATAGAATTGTTCTGTGAATTGAATCTAGAACTCCTTATTTAAAACAATATACCGGTACCTCTCAAAGTATTGGCATCGCTTGGCATAGGGGCTTCTTGGTTTGCAAATGGAAAATTTGTGTTATTATTTCTATTTTGTATCTTTGGATGATGATGAACATTTGAAGCATTAACTTGGGATGCCATCTCTGGTTCAACAACTTCTATCATTTGCTTTCCTCTGTTTTTATTTATCTGATCTGACCTGATCAAATCATCAGCTAGTAAGTCTCCAATTTCAGCATAACCAAGGTCAGCTTTCTTTCCTTTTGCTACATTTCATGAACACATTGTTAAAATTTCAAAATGACATTAATTCATTTAAAAATTTCAAAATGACATTAATTCATTTAAAAATTGACACCCTAATTTTCAATCATTTGATGAGGCTAACAATTGAACAGCTCATATTAATAATAATATCCTAACTTGTATTGCTATATGTCATATTAACTAATTTGTAATCTGTCACAAGAGAGATTGAGAAAAGACAAATTAAGAGTGATTTAGGTTTAAACAATATATAGACATGTCTTTAAATGTCAAAATGTGAAAGGTGACTCCACAAAACAAGTTCTAAATTTGTGATAAGAACATTATACTTATACCCTAATCAACAATTTTACCAAGTTTTAAACTATATCCTTAAGAACTCTGTCCTGTACTGCGTTCACAAGATTTCATAAATCTGAATATAACCGGAAAGTTAACTCTGAAATTCACCATTAATATAATTTACTGTATTTTGATACGGTCATTTTCCTTATTTTTTTAGGTCCCAATCAACAATCAGACTAATTCTTAAAAATGTCGTTCAACTGCCATCAAGAACTTTGTGCTGTGCTTTTTTTTCAAACTTTAAATGTCAAAATATGACCAGAAAATTTACGATCCAAACATATTGAAATTTACAGTATTCTTCTTTATGATCCAATGAACAATTTCTATGAATTGAAAAAAACATTCTGACAAGAACCGGAGTGTTTACAAGAAACTGTGGTCAGATGACAGACAGATGCAGGTAAAGTCAATATATGCTTGAACAACAATTACTGTAACAAACCATAATTATAGGTGCAGTGCTTTAAAAGACAATGAAAATAAGAGTTGACCAGATGACAATACGAATGACTACAACATAAGACCTATTGATCATTGCTATTTGCTTGATTGAATCAAAGATAAAAGATCATACGTATAAACTGCTATTTGCTTGATTAAATTGAAGAGACACAAAAATGTTCATTGATAGCATATAGACTGCCCAAATGAAACATGCGCCCACAACAATTCAGATGTCCAAGCAGTCCACAACATTTGTCACATTTTTATTGCGTAGAAATACAAAACAGTGCAAAGTGTATGATAAATCATAATGAAACACATTGTACCTTGCTTATCATAGGAAATAAATCATTATACCAATATGGTATACATATCAAGATCTATTTTTTCATGTTTCTCTATCCATGCTGACTACTTTGTCATTTGTTACAATCTACATGATTTCAGTTGTTGTACAGTTGATCTGTGATCTAAGGGTAGATAACTATTGATATTTTGTTCATGTTTCTCTATCCATGCTACAGGATTTTGGTATTCAGATATTCTTGATAAATGGTCTAAGGGAAATAACCTTTTTTTTTCGTGTTTCTCTATCCATGTTGACGGATTGGTCATTTTCTTTCTTTTGTGGGAAAGTATCTTATTTATCAAGTTTTAGTCTTATGCCTACTTACATTTTCTTCCAGAACCTCTGTTTTTTCTAGATGATTCTTGTATGACCTAGGTGATAAAAATATTTATTCATGAATACAAATAAGATACATAATTATTGAATACCAATTTAATATTCCTTTAGAGCAATTTAGTAACTGTAAACTATAACACATTACATACTTATGGAAGAACAATTACATATTTATTATTGTAGGATTAAAAGTTATAAAATCATATGTACATACTGTTTCTTCTTGGGGTAAATTCTGTACGGCTTCCATGGCATCCATTACACCTAATGTAGTCTTTAGTGATGTATTATTATCTTGAAAATCATTTTCTGAACTAATAATTTGCGATTTCTGAGAATAAAAAGAACAGCAGTTGCCAGGCAAGATATGCCCACATTTTGCAAGAGAGAGAGAGAGAGAGAGAGAGAGAGAGAGGGGGTTTAATGTCCACTCGACACAAACTAGTTCATTTTGGGACTAGCACAAGCACATGGTTCAATTTTATTTCAATCATTTGATTGTGCGTATGGGTCTTGAGCAGTGGGAGGAAACCGGAGGACCCGGAGAAAACCCACGAGGTTGGACAGGCAACCCTACTCCTTGTTATGTACAACCGGGAAATCGAAGCCACGCCAGTTGAGTCAATGACAGACCTTATGATACAGCACGCATATGCTAACCATTCGGTCATCCAACCCCCTATTTTGCAAGAGATGGATAGAAAACAACCTAAAAACAAAAGAGAATTTTCGTACAATCAGGGGCCATAATCCAGAAAGTTATGGTCTGAAATGCGCAAGTATCGAAAGGGACTGAGATCTTTGGGATATAAAGATATATTTTAAGTTTCATCAAAATAGGATAAAAATTGTGACTTCTAGTATTACATACTTTTACACAATTTGCGTACAAAGAGCGGCCATTTTGTCGAGCAGTTTCTTTTCAATTTACCCGTTATTCAAAATCAACCTTCATCATAGTGGAATGGTGATATATTTAAACAGTTTTTAAAATTGGATAAAAATTGTGACCTCCAGAGAATTCACAAGCTAAAAAACACGATTTTTCTTACAATCAGGGGCCACAATCCAGAAAATTACAGTCTGATATATATATATGCGCGAATATCAACAGGAACCAAGATCTTTGGGTTATAAACATGTATTTCAAGTTTCATTAAAATCGAATCAAAATTGTGAACTCTAGAGAGTCCACAACCTTGATATACCATATTTTTGCATACAAGGGACGGCCATTTTGTCCAGCAGTTTTGGTCCGATTTTCACTAAAATCGAACTCAACCAACAGTGATATATTGAAACGTATTTTTAAATCGGATTATAATTTTCTGTACAATGAAGGGCCATAATTCAGGAAGTTTTGATATGTGCGAATATCAAAAGAAACCAAGATCTTTGGGTTATTAACAAGCATATCATGTTCCATCAAAATCTGATGAAAATTGTGACCTCTAGAGTGTCCATAAGCTATAAACATGATTTATCATACAATCAGGGGCCATAATTCATGATGTTACTTACTGTCCTATACATGCCAATATCGAAAAGACTCGAGATCGTTGGAAGGTAAACCTACTGGTATATTTCAAGTTTCGTCAAAATCGGATAAAAACGGTGACCGGTAGACTGTCCACAAAAATGTGATTTTTCGTACAATCATGAGCTGCAATCCATGAAGTTATTGTCCGATACATTCCAATATTGAAAGGAACCAAGATCTTTGGGAGATAGACCTATATTTCAAGTTTCATCAAAATCGTGACCTGTAGAGTTTCCACAAACAAATTGTGGAAGGACAGATGGATGGACGGTCGGACAGACAGAGGCAACGACATAATTCGTCCACATGAAAATGTGAGCATATATAAAATAAAACAAGAAAAATTACATTATTGTATTTCAATTAAAACATAAATAATGAGTTACAACTTGGGAAGCCTTTTTAATTTTTAAGTCTTGCTCAAAATTGTATTGCATTCATAAAAAATTACCAATAAAATAATAAATTTAATTTTAATGCTTGTCTACTTACCCTAAATTTAGGTTTGTCAGGTACTGCATAGATATCATTGTTATTTGGTTCTATGATATGATAAAATCCAGGAGCTATACAAAAAGAAAAAAATAATTTCATTAAACATAAGATAATTTTGTACTAATTACCACAACAAATTCATATATGCAGTGCTTGTCACTGTTACAAATAACTGGACTCTGACAGTATCACACATAAAAAATTGACAATTCAGATTTGTTTTAATGACATATGCATGCAAAGCTAACCTCCCTACTTTTCCGACTTTTGGAAATTTTAATTGTCCTTTTAAGAAATCATAACAATTCAGTAAGATTATCTGTGGAATCACTTTGGTATGACTTTTATGTACGAAGATAAAACAGAGAGCCATAAGATAAATAATCAATAACTTGGAAAAAAGATTAATTAAGGAACTATTAGATTAGATACATTAATGTGAGCATTTCTTCAATTGATAGAAAGTATAAAGACCTGTAGAAGCAGCTTGTTGATTAAAAGATCTTTGAGACTTTGGTGATTGGTTAGATGGCCTTGGTCTTGGACCACCTCGTCGTGGCCAAGTTCCAAACTCAACTGTTGAATAGCTATAATAACAAACAAACTGCTTAATAATAGTAAACATTGACAATATTTGAAAACTTAACTAAGGCAATTCAAATTATACATTTAAACTTCCACCATCTTGATAGGGTGGTTTAATAAAATAGAAAAATCTTCCATAAAACTCCTGCGGTGAACTAGAACGATCTCCATTTCAGGATTGCTCTGAGAAATTTGCAATGTTCAAGAGAACTGTCAGGAACAGAAATAACTGCAGATAACTGATAAAAAAATTAAAAACATACCCTGCCTCATCCATTTGTTGATAGTCATACAGACTGCTTTCTGGATCACTGAATAGATCATCATCTGACATGGGTCTACGAGAAGCAAATAAACGAGGTAAAGTTCCGGTACCAGTCAATGTCATATTTATATCACGTTGCATACCCCAAGGGTTATCAGGTGGTTCTACGCCAGTTTTTGGCACAGCGGCAAAAGCAACTGCTGGTATTAAAGCAGGAGATATATGTCGATGCGCTCCCTAAAATAACAAAATAAATTCATTTTAAAGATACATTATGGGAGATTCGATAACGAATTGGCAGTTCTCACTATAATAGTTAAAAACTAGATAATGTAAAGGCAATTTGCTGAAAATTTCAGTCAAATTGATCCACTATGAACCGAGAAATAAGCGAACGAAAGTTCCGCATAGCCTCGGTCATCATTACTAAAGTCGGTACCACAAAAATCATAGTCTCGATTATCCATTTAATTGTTAAATCGAGAAGGAAAGTTATGCAGCAAATCCGATCATAATCCAACAATTATCGCAGGCTATCGTTGACATCGAGAGTTGATTATGGTCTGGATACGTTAATTAATGTCTAATTAATAGTTTATATAACATTTCAGGCTCAAAGAAAGAACTACAATAGGCAGATTTAGCTCTTGCATAATGTATGTTTAATTAATGTCATTTGTATTTCTTGGAAAATATCAAGTTCCGATAGCTTGATCTCCACTACAATGTACTGGAAATGGCTTGTGTTGACTCGTAAATGTATATTGTCTGCAGTCCATGGCAAATGTTGACAAATGTTCAATTTTATCATATCACTTTGTAGATACTGAATGGAAGTGAACCATAGAGATTCAATCTTCACAATATTGTTGTTTGCAGGAAATAAGATAATAACGCTGGCGCATTGATGCTACCTTTACACATTGGTGTCCCTGGTACATATTGATGTTACTGGTAAAAATTGATGTAACCGGTACATATTGATGTTACTGGTACATATTGATGTTACTGGTAAAAATTGATGTTACCGGTACATATTGATGTTACTGGTAAAAATTGATTTTACCGGTACATATTGATGTTACTGGTCAACATTGATGTTACTGGTAGTGGTAGGCATTGATGTTACCGGTACACAATGATGTTGATAAGAGCGATAAAACTACTTTACTAATTCCCCTGTCAGACCGGGGTGGCATCATAACTGCACTGCTGCGATCGCACGGCGACCAGAAAATGCACAAGGTTGCGGGCAAATGTGAAAACAATGTAAGAAAATGTCCCAAAATATTACAAACGTGAAAAAAGCCACATTCTCACAGCTTTTCTGGTTAGATCGCAAAACCTTCGTGTGAAAACAATGTAAGAAAATGTCTCAAAATATTACAAACGTGAAAAAAGCCACATTCTCACAGCTTTTCTGGTTAGATCGCAAAACCTTCGTGTTTGTTTTGAACATCCTCAAAACAAACTCTGTGACTTGGAGATCATTTGCCCCCATGCAAACCACAGCACGATATATGGCATTTCCACCACACTTATGGTGATCTTGACACCCTCTGAGACCACCTTTTCCGTCACCGTAGCAGTGCAGTAAGGACGCCACACCGGTCTGGTGGGGGTATAATTGCACAAGTTTAGACTACATATTTGCAACAATGAGCCCAATGTGTGTTATACAAACTCAGAATGTTGAATGCTGTAATTGTTGAAACGCATGACTCACTGATTATAGGGATAATCCACCACAAATGTTTGCAAAAGAAACTACTACTATTGTCTACATGGACAAGGGGCTGGGACAAGCATGAAAGTAGAATTAAATGAGAGCAGCAGTAAAGAATCATTCTTTAAAAATCCTGATGGCCAAAAATACAGCTTCTAACACATATTTTTATTTTATTTTAATTTTACTGACAAATAATATGATGAATGATGACTCAACACAGAGGCTGTTATTATACTATACAGTAATGTTAATAATCTGTAGCATACTGCCTATTTTACAATAGGCTATATACCCAGTGCTATTCTAACAGGGGGTTGGATGGCCGAATGGTTAGCATGTGCGCGCTGTATCATAAAGCCTGTCATTGAGTCAACTGGCGTGGTTTCGAATCCCCGGTTGTACGTGACAAGGAGTAGGGTCGCCTGTCCAACCTCTCTCTTGCAAAATGTGGGCATATCTTGCCTGGCAACTGCTGTTCTTTTTATTCTCAGAAATCGTAAGTTATTAGTTCAGAAAATGATTTTCAAGATAATAATTAATAATGCATCACTAAAGACTACATTAGGTGTAATGGATGCCATGGAAGCCGTACAGAATTTACCCCAAGAAGAAACAGTATGTACATATGATTTTATAACTTTTAAACACTCGGCCATCCAACCCCCCCTTCTAACAATAAACAAGTGTTCTGAGAATATTGCTGAAGGAGTATATGTACATGTCCACCTACAATACATGCATAGAGGCTTTACTACTTCCAAATAATGAATTATAATAACACTTTTTGTTTTTAAATGTTATCATTACAAGCCAAATTCGCATGCCATCCATTGGGCCTCAATACTTTATTTGTATAAAACTATTAAAAGCAAATAGAATGATTGTAATATACTATTCAAAAAAAGTAGGGGATATTTGATTTTTAAGTGTTATTAAAGTCACCTAATGAAACTGTCGAAGAAACAAATGACAAAATGAAATGAAGTTCACATTCATCGATTTATTCCAAATGATCGTTAGACTAAGTAAGGCACAGACTGACCATTATAAGGGTAAAATGATACCCGGGGTCAAACAGCAAAGTTACCACAGCATCACAACCAAGTCAGTAACGGGTAAATCCTCCTCTGTTTGCCAAACAAGCATTGATCCGACGTGGCATACTCCTAATGAGACGTCTAAGGTCATTTTGGTCCAGATTGTCCCATTCCTGTTGCAACGCAGCAGCAAGTTCTTGGACATTGGCAGGACGTTGTTGACGTTGACATAACCTCTGTCCAAGCATGTCCCAGACATGCTCGATGGGGGAGAGGTCGGGACTCAGTGCTGGCCAAGGTAATGTGGTGATGTTCTGTTGTTGGAGGTAACCTGTAACGATCCTGGCCCTGTGACATCTTGCGTTGTCATCCTGGAAGATGAAACGGCGGCCATGACGTCGTGCGAACGGCACAACATGGACTGCCAAGATGTTGTCCCGGTAGTACTGGCCTGTAACACGCCCTGCAACAACATGTAAAGCCGTTCTTCCAGCAACAGTGATGCCTCCCCACACCATAACAGAACCACCCCCAAATCGATCATGTCTGATGACGTTAACGTCTTGGAAGCGCTCGTTTCGACGACGCCACACCCTCCTACGTCTGTCCAAAAATCAACAGTGAACCTTGACTCATCTGAAAACATCACATTGCTCCAGCGTCGATTATCCCAGTGTTGACGATCCCTACACCAACGACGTCTTGCCTGAATGTGATGATCTCTCAAACAAGGGATCACACGAGGACGTCGGGCGCGAAGGTGACCCCTATGCAGTCGATTCCGAATCGTCTGGCCACTCACTCTCACACCAGTGTCTGTTTGAAGACGAGCGCTGATCGGATTTGCTGTGATGACACGATTTCTCAAGGCCAAGGTACGGATAAATCGATCCTGGGCTTGAGTTGTCGCCCTTGGTCGACCTGAGCGTGGTCTGTCCTGTACAGATTGTGTATCAAGGTATCCGGACCATAGCCTCCTTATGACAGACTGAGAAACATTCATCGTCCGGGCCACAACCGCCTGTGTTGTGCCGATCTGTAGCATGCCAAGGGCACGTAACCTTTCATTTTGGGTAAGCCGACGCATATCAAAATTTGTTTTCTGGTCACTAAAACAATTAAACTGATGTTTCCACCCTGGAATTCAATGCCACAATGACTGTAACATTCAAAGTCAGAGTCGTGCAAATCTTTGGTTGGACCCCCATGATGATCCCAAGCATCACCTGCATTCCATGCGGTAGCTATTGGTGTGTTTGGGCGTCACATGTAACTGGAAATGTTTCTTCTGTTAGGTTCTATAGTGACTTTTCGTAGTCATTTGCATATTTTAGTATTATGCCCCCAAAATCAAATATCCCCTACTTTTTTTGAATAGTATATATTAAAGTGTGATATCTGGACCCTACAGGTGAAGTCTTAACTCAACAACTGGCAACATAAAAGGACCAATCTAATGATGAAGAAATGTATTGATTAATTATTAAGAAATTTAACTTTATTTTTAAGAAAGAATTAATAAATAAAAAATCCACTGAAAATGGGAAAAACGTATTTTTAATCACACACTAGGCCCAAAATTAAATTTAAAATAGTATGTATAAAGATAAGCTGCAGGTCTATCTAGCTGTACAAGTGTACGTGTAATAAGGCTTGCATATGTTCAGACCATATCTAGCTATTTGTAGGGCTATGAATGCAAAATTCATTTATTAATGGATTTATTTACAAATAAGCCTATTTGATAAATACATTTAAATAACTTAAAACAGTTTACAGATTTAAGATATCTTAATTAGAAGCCAAGATATGAACATTTATGTTCGGTGAATCCAAGCATTTTTTGTCTAAAATTTTATATAGAGAAAATCTCTAGCAGGTTAAAATACAATGAAAGGTCACAGGGTTAATGGCACAAAATTCAGGAATTAACAATGGATCAGAAGCACATAATAATGCATAATACATGGACAAAATATCCGACCTTGCTGAAAATTGCCACAAGGCATGCCCGATCGACACTCTAATGCATGACGGGAAAAAAAACATAGGTTGACCGTGATGTCGGCCATTTTGAATAAATTAAAAACAAAAAATGTTTAATATTGTTGAAATCGTAACTATTTATATTCAAATTTCAGTAACATTCACAGAATAATATTCAATTAATACAAAATGTAACTAAATAAGATTAATGGAGATGCAAATATGCAAATTAGGTGATGTCAACCATATTGGAATCCATGATGGCCACCATTATATAATGTAGTATGGATTTTATAAGTGTTTACATGTATAAGTATAACAAACTATTTCACCGCAAACCAAAATCAAAAAAAAATTTAAAAAAATGAACAAATGTCATCATCCAACATATCAAACTAAAGCAAATCTCAACAGCAATTCAAAAGTAACACTTTTGCACTTCTATAACCATTACAGTAATAACAGACCTGACAAGTAAAACTTAAGATTAAATAAATTTTCAAAAAGTATCATGTTTAAAAGTAGTTTCTGCGATAGAAGTCATGCAATGTTCCATTATCAATTTAAAATGAATTAAAGGGAGGTAATCATACAAAGTGGATTTTGTCTGTCAAAATATCAACAGGTAGCTTAATATTTCTGAAATAAACAAAAAAAAAGATTTGAAAAGATCATACAAAAGATGGTTTACAATATTTACATGTAAGTTAAGACCGGGAGATTTTGAGAATTTGCCCTTGCTCAACAATACGTCTGCAGCCAGCTGCTTTAATTTTACTACCAGAGCACACAAGCTCTGAAAAATTGCATGAGATGAAACACGGATATCATTACCACCTAAATGAATAAACACAACATCAGGACAAAAAATCAAAAGTTCACAAAAGTGGAGAAATGAATTTCCAACACCGTTTTGCGATTAAGTTACATTAAGACGAATTCTACATTTGAAAACTTACATAATGTTCCACAATCTTCTTCTGTGGATACGTCTGTAACAGGGTCATATTTTGGGACTCTGTCAATTAATGTTGGTGAAGAATGTCCTGATCAGTGTCTTGATTGTTGGAAGTTTTTAATAAGTGAGTTTATAGTTTTGGTTGTGAGATAATGTAAATTCATTAAAATGTTTTGGGGGATGGATTTTCAGTTGTATGGGTCTGGAATTGTATTGTCCGGATTATGGTGTTTTATTTTAGTGGTTGAAATGTCTTAGTTCTTATATGGGTTTACTTTTAATATTTTTTGGTATAGTTGAAAGGATAACTCGTTGGACTCTTTATAGTTCTGAAGGTGGTCTCTTTCTGAAATATTGTTTATCAGGTGATTAGTAATTCTTTGTCCTGGTTGGTTATTCAGAAGTTTAGCTGGGATAAAACTAAATTACACGCATGCATCAGTACCACATGTTACAGATTTAGTGAAGGTCAATACCGGCTCTTTTCCACAAATGGGTAAGCTATTTAATTTAACTTTCTTGTAATAGATGACTGCAAGTGGACTGTGAGTTTCATGAGTGTTTGATATATAATTATATATGTAATTCAAATACTGTAAGGTAAAAATTGTAGGATGTGTAGCCAATAGAACTGTTGGTTACGAATATATGGATAATGGCAACTATTGTATTTTCAGGGCCAACTTGTCGAGCATAAATGTATTTTGTGTTATAGTTATGTGTAGTACCAACAGAAATGGTGTTTAATGGTTATGGTGAATTGAAATACATCTAGATCGACCAACATCGACTACGCGCTTACGCGTTTCATTTAATTGTTTTAAACTGTATCATGTGTCGTTTGTGGATTATATAAACTTATTTAAACCTTATCGTGTTGTCAATCAAGAAATCTATTTTCACGAACTAAGCAGGTTCAATCTATCAACTTTACCACACCATTGCAGGTGATGGAAAGGGTAGGTCTGCAATAATGGAGCCCCCAGGGAGGAGTAGATTTTCTTGGTTGTACCAGTAACAAGTTGAACTGTTTAGTTTTCAATTAACTTATCGTTAGACTTTAAAGTGAATCCGATGGCGTTTAATTACTGACATTCAAATTTATATGCACATTATCATCAAGCTTGAATTCTCGTGACTTTGTGACAGTGTTTAACCACTGGAACTGAAATTATAACAGATTCTGGATGAAGATTGGAACTGTGTAACAGTGAATATTGAACATTAATATTATGAACTATTGATTAATTTAGTGTTAATTTGATTAATTTAGTGTTAATTTGTTTGTTTTCATTTATTTTTAGTGTCGGTAAACCTGGTATGTATGGTTGTAAGTATGGATGTTGACAGCACTAATAAATAAATAGGTCAAGTTTAAATAAGTTAGGGCATAAAATTCCGTAACTATTGATAATCTTAGAACATCATTCAATACACATTGCATTATACTAAAATATATAACAGTTATCCCAGTAACACTATAACTTGTATTGTCTTTATTTTATCAACAGTGGAGTTTTTTTTATGTAGAGTTTAGAGTAGTTTGGTCAGTTGATTGGTTTGAATATGTCGGAGGAAGAAGTTGTGGTCTTGGGTAACACACTAAGAAAGTTGGGTCTTTTTCCAAAGCGTATAGGTAAGACTGAAGATGACGTTGCTGAGTGGATGGAAGATGTTTTGAAATCTAAAGGTAAGTGGCCGGTTAAATCGGATGATGAAACAGAGTCGTCTACTAAATCAAGACCACCAGTTAATCCGATGCCGAAGTTGTCAATGTTTTATGGTGAACCAGGAAAAGGTGAAGTTAGTTACGACCTTTGGAGATACGAAGTAGATTGTTTAATTTCAGAAGGTGTATATGATAACCATGTAATACTGTTGGCTATTCGCCGATCACTTAAAGGGGAGGCCGGTAAGGTTATAATGCGGTTAGGTCCGCATGTTGATGTTAAAACTGTCTTAGCCAAATTGCATAGTGTTTACGGTACATGTGAAGAAGCAGAATCTTTAATCGGACTCTTTTACAGTGCTAAACAATATCCATCTGAAACGGTTACAGATTGGGCATGCCGGTTAGAAGATATACTCGCAAGAGTAACTCGAGAGGGTAGTCCAGATCCTAAAGAATCCGATGAGACATTAAGGAATGTATTTTGGCGTGGATTGTTGCCACACTTACGTGATTTGTCTGCTCACAAATATGATAAATCAACAAGTTTCGACACACTACGTGTTCAACTTCGCCGTATAGAGCATGATGTTAATCAACGAAACTTGTCAGCGAGTACCGCTACTTCGAAGCCAAATCCTTTTAACATGATACATACAAAGTCTTCTAATTCTGAATTTCAGGAACTTAAAGGGATAGTTCACAGTATTTCTTCACAAGTTAGTGGATTGAAGGATCAAGTTTCGCAATTAGCTTATAAAGTTGACAGACCTAAGGTTCCACGATGGCAGTCACAAGGAAATGATTCAAGAGGTGAGATGTCAAATAATTTTAGTAGTAATAACCGGGATAATCGGCGTAGTAGTCAAGGACCGGGACCCAAGTGTTGGGCTTGTGGTCAGTACGGTCATATTAGGTTGGGTTGCAGAGCAGCATTTAACCAGAATCGTTCTTTAAACGTTCACAACCTCAGGCCAAGGGAAGCGCCCTGGGGTACTCCACGCAGAGACTTCCCAGAGCGACGTTGAAATCGAATTTTGTAGTTGGTGAACCTAATGAAGCCAATGTTAAAGTTGAGGGAAATTGTTGTACTGCACTTTTAGATACTGGATCAACTGTGTCTACTGTAAGTGAAGAGTTATATAATTCTAAATTAAAACATTTACCTTTACAACCGCTTAAAACTATGTTGGATATAGAATGTGCTGATGGTAAACCATTGCCGTATAAAGGATATATTGAAGCAGATTTACAGTTTTCAGAATTGACAGATGAAACAATAACTTGTATTTTATTAGTTCCGGTGAGTAGATATAATTCATTGGTTCCGGTTTTACTTGGAACAAATGTATTGACTCTTCTGATGAAACAATGTAAAGATGAACATGGGAAATCTTTTCTCCAAAAAGCGAAATTAACCACTTCTTGGTATTTATCTTTTCGTAGTATGGATTTATCAGAAAAAGAATTAGTCAAACGAGATTTCAGTTTAGGAATAGTGAAAAGTGCCTCAGTCAATAGGATACTAGTTCGTCCAAATTCTCGTATAACGTTACCATGTTATGTTGATAAAAAGTTACGATACCCGAAGGTGTCGGTGATGGTACACCCATGTCAACGTTCCAGTATTTCATCTGATTTAGATGTTTCTCCATCCATAATGATGTATGATTACAATAATACAGATTATATTTCAGTTAACGTTTCAAATGTGTCTACAAATACTATTGTTATTTCACCCAAAGCTATTGTGTGTGAACTACAGCCGGTAAATATTGAAGATAACGAAGTTACTTCAGATGGATCCAATGCCTCGGTCTTAAATAAAGTAGAAATTGACGAAAGCGATTTATCAGAGGAAGAGATAATTCAAGGTAAGAACCTGTTGTTAAGTTTTGACGATATTTTCGCACATAATGATCTGGACTTGGGACATACATCCAGAGTACAACACAGAATTGAACTTATAGATGAACAACCGTTTAAGCAACGGCACCGCCGTATACCTCCATCGATGTTTACTGAAGTAAAAGATCATTTAAAGCAGTTGTTAGCATGTGGTGTTATAAGAAATTCACATAGTCCATGGGCATCAAACGTGGTACTTTGTCGTAGAAAGAACGGTAAATTACGCATGTGCACTGATTTCAGACAATTGAATAATAGAACGATCAAGGATTCGTACGCTCTTCCCAGAATTGATGAGTTATTGGATCATTTAGCAGGTAACAAATTTTATTCAAAGTTAGATATGAAGTCCGGATATTACCAGGTCGAAGTTGCCGAAGAACATAAGGAGCGTACCGCTTTCACAATTGGTCCGCTTGGTTTTTATGAGTATAACAGACTTCCTTTTGGTCTTTGTAATTCTCCCGCGACGTTTCAGAGGCTTTTAGAAGATTGCTTAGGAGATCTTCATTTGACGATATGTGTAGTGTATATTGATGATTTGATTATTTTTGCAGATTCATTCGAGGAGCATCTACAGCGCTTAAATAAGGTTTTAGAGCGTTTACGTCAGTGTAATTTAAAATTAGCACCTGATAAATGTAGTTTCTTTAAAAGACGTGTAAACTATGTTGGACATGTTATCTCCGAAGCGGGTATTGAACCAGATCCAGAGAAAATTGAGGTGATCCAAAAATGGCCACGCCCATTGAATTCTGTCGAGGTAAGAAAATTTCTTGGATTTGCTGGTTATTATCGTCGTTTTGTGAAAGATTTTTCGAAAATATCAAAACCTTTATCTATTTTGATGCCCACAACGGGTAAGAAAAATAAAAGTAATGTTTCCGTCAAGTGGAAGTGGGATATTGAGCAGGAAAATGCATTCTGTGAATTAAAGGATCATTTGTGTAGTTCTCCAATTCTTACAAGCTGTGACTATACGTTACCATTCGTTTTACATATTGACGCTTGTCAAACTGGTCTGGGTGCAGTTCTTTATCAGAAACGAGATAATTTATTGAAAGTTGTGGCTTACGCGAGCAGAAGTGTGAATAAATCGGAACAAAATTATTCTGCTCATAAATTGGAATTTTTAGGGTTAAAATGGGCCGTTACAGAAAAGTTTCATGATTATTTGTATGGGAACAAGTTTGTGGTGTATACCGACAATAATCCATTAACCTATATTTTGACTTCCGCTAAATTAGATGCAACAGGTCATAGATGGCTCGCCGCTCTTTCTGCGTATGATTTTGAAATAAAATACAGACCCGGGAAAAATAATTTGGACGCCGATTTATTGTCAAGATTACATAAAGAATCGGAATATATTTCACATGAACAGGTACATGTAATTTGTAATTCTATTCAGCCGAGTAATTATGCCGAATGTTTAAGTATATCACCAGAATTAGTGCCGGAGGTAAATTTAGGTCTAAATGGTATGACACCACGTGATTGGAGAAAGGAACAAGCAAAAGATGCCTCTATATTGTCTATTCTTAAATATTTAAGGTCGGGAATAAAGCCATTTGACAAGGAGTTCAACAAAGAGGTCCAAGTATTATGTCGTCGTTTAGAACACTTAAAGCTGAAACAGGGAGTTTTATATCGATCTGTGGAACATGAAGGGGAGATAATTGAACAACTCGTACTTCCAGGTCATTATAGGAAATTAGCATTTCAGGCTCTTCACGATGATCTTGGTCACATGGGTAGAGATAGAACTATGGTATTAATGAGGGAACGATTTTATTGGCCTGGTATGGCAAGTGATGTTGAACTTTGGATCAAGAATTGTGAACGTTGTTTGAGACGAAAATCTCCTACAAATATGCGAGCCCCTTTGGTGAATATAGAAACTACTCACCCCCTTGAAGTTGTTGCGATGGATTTTCTAACACTAGAACCATCTAAAGGTAATTATCAGTATATTCTAGTTATTACAGATCTGTTCACAAAATATGCTCAAGCAATACCTACACGGAATATGACAGCTCGCACAACGGCTGAAGTATTTTTCAATAATTTTATAGTTCATTATGGTTTACCAAGTCGGATACATTCTGATCAAGGAGCTAATTTTGAGAGTAAAATTATTAAAGAATTATGTAGTTTAGTAGGTATGGATAAATCCCGCACCACAGCTTATCACCCGATGGGTAATGGGCAGTGTGAAAGATTTAATCGGACACTTTTGAATATGCTGGGTACACTTACGCCGGAGAAGAAAAATGATTGGAAAATACAAGTAGCACCTCTTGTACATGCATATAATTGCACACGACATGAAACCACTGGATTTTCACCTTTCTATTTAATGTTTGGACGCCACCCTCGTCTTCCAATAGATTTAGCGTTTGGAGTGAGTCGAGAAGTGTCTAATGTGTCATTACATTCGTATGTAAAAGCGTTAAAGGAACGGTTACAACGTTCTTATGAATTAGCGATTAAATCATCAGAGAATTGTAAAGAAAAACAGAAGACAAAATATGATCGGAAAGTTAAAGGTATTCGTCTTGATATTGGTGATCGTGTTTTAGTACGTACTTTAGCGTTTCAGGGAAAACACAAATTAGCTGATCGATGGGAACCTGGCGTTTACATTGTTGAGGATCAACCTAATTTGGAAATTCCTGTTTTTGTGGTCAGACCAGAGTCTGGGCGTGGACGATCGCGTACTTTACATCGAAATAATTTGTTATCAATCAATAGCGTTGAACCCGTGTATTTTCCGACTCCAAAACCGAGAAAGCGAAAAATAGTAATTGAGTCTAAAGTAGCTGCGGAAAAATGTGTTGAATTAGATTCAAGTTCTGATGAAGAATTTAGTTATGTGGAAGCCAATGATCCTGTAAATGAGAATTACCCGGAGGTTATTCTTACGGGAGGAGGGGAAGGTGATCATGAAATTATCGAGGATATTGTTGAGGGGGATCACAATACCGAGATATTTCATGGGGCATCTAATGACGCATCTGTAAGTAATGAAAATACTGAGGTAAAATCAATTGAAGTTAATGTTTCAGGTGACGCCGTAGATAATAATCCAAGTCCTCTACCGGCAGATGTATCTATTGAAACAAGACCTCGCCGAACATGTAACCAACCTCAATGGATGCAGAGTGGTGATTTTGTTATGGCTCAAATTAATAATCCGTCAGATTGGTATGAGAAAGCTAACTATATTCATTCATTACATCTTTCAGGTTCTTTAAGCAAAATGGCTCCAGAGGTTAGTACGGCATTGTTGTCGTTAATTACTGGTAAGTAAATGACGGGACGTCATTTTTACGGTGGGGGGAAGTATGTAACAGGGTCATATTTTGGGACTCTGTCAATTAATGTTGGTGAAGAATGTCCTGATCAGTGTCTTGATTGTTGGAAGTTTTTAATAAGTGAGTTTATAGTTTTGGTTGTGAGATAATGTAAATTCATTAAAATGTTTTGGGGGATGGATTTTCAGTTGTATGGGTCTGGAATTGTATTGTCCGGATTATGGTGTTTTATTTTAGTGGTTGAAATGTCTTAGTTCTTATATGGGTTTACTTTTAATATTTTTTGGTATAGTTGAAAGGATAACTCGTTGGACTCTTTATAGTTCTGAAGGTGGTCTCTTTCTGAAATATTGTTTATCAGGTGATTAGTAATTCTTTGTCCTGGTTGGTTATTCAGAAGTTTAGCTGGGATAAAACTAAATTACACGCATGCATCAGTACCACATGTTACAGATTTAGTGAAGGTCAATACCGGCTCTTTTCCACAAATGGGTAAGCTATTTAATTTAACTTTCTTGTAATAGATGACTGCAAGTGGACTGTGAGTTTCATGAGTGTTTGATATATAATTATATATGTAATTCAAATACTGTAAGGTAAAAATTGTAGGATGTGTAGCCAATAGAACTGTTGGTTACGAATATATGGATAATGGCAACTATTGTATTTTCAGGGCCAACTTGTCGAGCATAAATGTATTTTGTGTTATAGTTATGTGTAGTACCAACAGAAATGGTGTTTAATGGTTATGGTGAATTGAAATACATCTAGATCGACCAACATCGACTACGCGCTTACGCGTTTCATTTAATTGTTTTAAACTGTATCATGTGTCGTTTGTGGATTATATAAACTTATTTAAACCTTATCGTGTTGTCAATCAAGAAATCTATTTTCACGAACTAAGCAGGTTCAATCTATCAACTTTACCACACCATTGCAGGTGATGGAAAGGGTAGGTCTGCAATACGTCCTTGAAAATCTCGCGAAGATAATGTACCGCGGCCACGCCCCCTGTATTCTGTGTAGAGAATTGACGCCTCACTCACTTATTAATATTAGCGTCATAGCTATTTATTTATTAATATTTTAGAATATTTTTTTTTTTGCAGTTTGTAGAAACATATTCGAAAAAAAAATTGTGTGCCATGAAATTTTACAGTGAGAAAATCCCTCGATATGCCGCATAGGCCTATGCAGTGTTCAACTGACATTTTCTCGGCATACCAATTATAAAAATAACACCATTGTCGGCATTGAAAAAATGAAAGGCTAATTTCATAGCATATAAATCATTATAATTTTAAGTATAGACATCTGTTTACAAATTAGTGTTTTGTAGGCTAATGCGTGTCCTGATTTTTGAAGTCATCGATGAAAATTAGCCACGATGACGTCACAGCATTTATAGCCCCACTATTTGCAAAGTATGACATCAGTCATCATGTTCTGTCATGTCAATCTGAATAGTGAAATTCATTAAATAAATACCGCCACCGGTATCTTTAGGTTGTGTTTCTATGCTGATTATAAATTATCCTTAGATTCAAAAGCCCAACATAGTTTAGGTAGTGCAATGGCTATATTAAAGCGAAACAGCAACCATTGTGCGCGTCTTGAAAGATGAAAACAACCCCATACCGTGTCTAAAGATTTCGCCCGCCGTCGACTGGCAGCCATCTTGAAACCAATGTCACTATTAGTTTTGATTATCATGTCGATTTGTGAAACAACATCAACACTCAAGAAAGACTTGATGTACTTACCTTCGAAGTTTTCAACCACGCCCACTGCAAGGGAGGGCTTATTGTGGAACGAAGGGAGGTAACTACATTTAAGCGGTTGACCCAAGATTTCTCACTAGCACATTTTTGGGAGAAATGAAATGGTGTTTAATGGCAAACAGATCACCATCCAGGGTATAATGCGCCAGAGATGTTCGTGAGGATTTACCCTTTTTTAAAAATAAAATGATTGAAAAACCTACTATATTTAAAAGATAATGTCTTTATTTGTTTTTTTATAGTTTACAAAAGAGTAGGCAATACAAAATACTATAAGATCTGTAATTAATTCTTATTTAAATCAATGAAAAGATATTTAATTTTTTCATTATCACTTACTAATATACCCAATTACTCTGGTCTTACAAATACAATCTGGAGCCCATCTGAATAAATATAAAGATTGGTTGTCAGGCAACAAAACATACACCTAGCAGTCCAAAAGAGTTGTCACATATTTTTTTTTTTTTTTTTTTCGGTAATGAAACATTTACAATACATTAAAATCTGATTAAGAGTAACAACTCATTAGAATTTATTTGGCTTCCAGCATTTAGTATACAAAACATTTAATATCATGGATTTACCTGTTCAAGTTCAATATAGGCTACTTGTTCCTCTTAGGACCTTCAATTTTAACTCCGTGTATCAATCTAAAGTCAATCGAATGATCACTTTGGCCTGCAGCGCAAACAAAACTGATAGGCAGGACCTCAGAAACAGATTATTTTTTACCATTAAAAAATAATTTTGATTAATATCACACTAATCACAATCTTATTGATCAGTTCAGACTACATTGTCTTCAATTTTAACTCCGTGTATCAATCTAAAGTCAATCGAATGATCACTTTGGCCTGCAGCGCAAACAAAACTGATAGGCAGGACCTCAGAAACAGATTTTTTTTTACCATTAAAAAATAATTTTGATTAATATCACACTAATTACAATCTTATTGATCAGTTCAGACTACATTGTCTTCGCTTTAACAAAATAATGCTAACAGTGTTAAAGGTCATACTGAAGTTCTCATGTCCTACAATTGGTATGTTGAGAGGAGCAATGACCTTCGCCTTTATTTGAAATTTGTAGAATGCATTGTTAAACAGTGGACTGAGACAATATTCCCTAAAAGTCATTATCACATATAAAATTGATGCTATTATGTCCAGATTAATATAGTTGCCTTCATACTAAGTTCAAAGCGTAGACAGTATAGTCTGAAATGACAGAGATTACACCAATATTTACTTGCAATTTATATTAAATTATGTATACAAATTAGCTTCATATTTGTTTATTTGAATCACAACAAAACATTGACCATATATCAGCAAATTCTAAAGTTTCGAAATTTGTGAGATTGGTGGTTCAGATACAGGTGGCACATGACCACCAGGTAAAGGTATATTACACCCTACTATTACATGATCACTTTCTCCTGATAAAAAAGTTCTGTGCTGATTCGGAAATTTGCAATTTAATTCCTCAAGTGTTTCAGATAATTCAGGCTGCTCCTGTTTTCCTTCAAAATCTGGTTCTTTAGGATATAAATCATCACCTAAATAAAATATTACACACATTGATTAGTTATATTGTGATCAGTAGTCATAAAACAGATATATGTGAAATTTCTGGGGGATATGTAAATAAGTGATAATTACCAGGTAATAAAAATAAGTATGCATCCTGACATCGCACTCTAACAGGTAAATATTGTTTGACACGATGTTCTTCTCTTTGCCATATAAATCTATGTAGATCCTCTATATTTTCAAAGTTGAGAAATCTTGATAACTCATAAAGTTGTGGAGGCGCAATTTTAGCATTACCATTCATATATTCTGTTAGAATATCAGCTGGTGAGCCCCACTACAAAATAATGTACAGAAAACAATTACTTCATGTAAAAAAAAATATGAAATTCTAGCCTGTTTTCAGAAGCTTAAAGATACATTATGGGAGATTAGATAACAAGTTGTCAGTTCTCACTATAATAGTTTAAAACTAGATAATGTAAAGGCAATTTGCTGAAAAGTTCATTCAAATTGATCCACTATGAACCGAGAACTAAGTGATTGAAATTTCCGCCTAGCCTCGATCATCATTACTAAAGTCAGTACGATAAACAGCATAGTCCCGATTATCCATTTAATCGTTAAATCGTGAAGGAAAGTTATGCAGTAAATCGGCTCATCATCCACTAAAGATCGCAGGCTAGCGATGCCATCTAGAGTTGATTATGGTCTGGATAGGTTAATTAATGTCTAATTAATAATTTAGATAACATTTCAGGCCCAAAGAAAGACCTGCAATAGACAGCTTTAGCTCTTCCATAATGTATGTTTAAGGTAAAAAAAATTGTTTTGGACTATAAAACATCCATGTATTGATCAATAGGTACGCTACGATGATAATCTAAGATCATTCTCTCGAAATATTACCATGGGTCAATGGTAATCTAAGATCATTCTCTCGAAATATTACCATGGGTCAATGAATTTGACACTTCACAATATGTTTCATAGCAAATTTTGCAAGTAACTTGATATACATGTTCCAGAACAGAAAAGCTACTTTATCTAAGAAATGGTGAAACTACCCTGTACTACACCAGAAGCAGCTTATCTTTTTAAAATTAAATGTATTGATGTTCTAGAAAATAAGGAGGGGTTTCATGTGCAACACCATTCATTTCTTGAACTAGAGCTTAAGCTCTACTTTGACCTTCGTACCTGGAGATGAACTGTCTCTCCTTGATCTTCCATGGCATCTGGTTTATCTGGAACACAAGCAACATAGAAGGCAGTATCATATCTTCTACCATATTTAGCAAACTTATCTTGACCTGTGGGTGTCAACCAATTTGACCATTCATACAGTGACCATACATCAGGTATTATATTTAACTCCTGACACATTGTTACAAACTCAGATGCATCTGCATAAACTTTTTTACGCCAGGACTCATGAATTTCACTCATTTGAAAGGCTGTAGCTTTCACTGGACCATGCTTCATGAAGTCTGTATCAATTGTCTTCATATCTGCAGCATTTCTGGCTAATAATACCCCTGATTCCTCAAATGTCTCTCTTATAGCACAAATTCTAAACGCTATCTCACTTGGAATTTGAGAAAACTGTGCATCTCGAACACGACTAAACATCGGGGGACCAATACCACCCCTTTTAGCGTATTCAAATGTCTTTTCAACAAGTTCATTATTACTATCATGAAAAATAGCTTTCCATTTTTCTGAAAAGTCTGCATCACTAGCTACACCCCCTGGGAACACATACAAACTGGGCATAAATTTACTTTTACTGCTTCTCTTTAGAAGCATTACTTCAAAATTAACTCCCTTTAATGCGTTTTCGTCTGCATTATTGCCATTGACATTATTATTGTTGATAACCGAGGCATTCACGGGTTTAAACCGAATGCCCTCACGTAAAGATGTATTTCTACCCGTTACCAGCACAAGTGTAGCAGCTTCCCTCCAGTGCTTTAATACCGTAGCCATATTTCTGCCCGCAGTTCGGTCAGTTCTAAAGGTTTTCTAAATTGCCATATTTTCCTCAAGTGCGGATAGGGTCAAAGTCAGCAAATCTTGATTATCCAGCCATATATTATCAATGAGCAATTTAATCTATTACAGTATTAGTATTAAAGTGCGAGTCATTTTATTTATCGCAAATTATCCCTCGTACCCTTTCGCCTTTATCATTCCGAATATATATTTTGATACGCTGGAGATTACATCAATGTTATCGTGGAATGCCGATTATTGCACTGCAGGTGCCCGAAGCCCCAGTTCCCCAGTCCATCACAATGTATGTGCGCCACAATGAGTTAAAATATTTTCTGAAAACGTATACCTATTTTTTTACGCCACTAAAATATTTAAAATAGACCAATTTCCCGCACAATTTTGTTAATGAATTATTATTATAAGTCTTAATTTATCTAAGCGTTTTGTTTATGAATAAATAATCTTTATTTTTCTTCTTTTTATTGGCGCGGGGGAGGGGGAGGGTATTTTTTTGTTGTTGGTATTATGTTGGTTTTGTTTTTTGCTTTAAGTATTCAAAAAGGTAGAATTTTTCATATAGCTAGGGGTTAAATGCCAATGTTTACCTCCACATCCCTAAAGTCAAATATAGATTGCCAACTGGACAACATTTCGACCATGAATTTTTCCGAAATCCTTTATCTGTTTTAGAGGTGAAAAATATCCCAATATAAAATAATAACTTAGTCATTATCATGAAATTCTCTGCGGTGTTTGAAAATGGCGACACCAAGGATTCCCCTCCCATTCACATGCATACGGCGTGATAATTTATTTAAACACAAAACCAATATTCATAAAACAGCTTTTAAATTTTTTGTTAAACTGTTCCTTCCTTTGAACAACTTCTGCAGTTTGGGACTCTGGATATGACTTGAACCTCCAATTACTAATCAAGTGAAGGTCTCCTGCGTTTAATAGTCTCATCAACACAATACTTAATTCATATAAATGTGACAAACATGATAATGTTTATGTCTATGTTACGTGTGCAATGCGACTTAGGATAATTTGACCGGGCTGTGAGGTTTCCGTACCCTTCTTCGATTTCCTATACTGTCAAGGGTATTCTTTGATCTGCACGCCAATATGCACACGGATAGACCTCTGTTTTCGTCCCATTCGAACGTCTAGACAAACACTTTCCTAGGAGGCACTTTGAATACTTCAGAAGTGTGACTGAATAATGTCGTTATTACTGTCTTATCGTCCGTCAATCTATCGCCCACTGCAATTTCTTGTGAACACTCTATTGTCACCCAATCTTTACATAAAAATGACGTTTACTTTACTGGGGTTGGGTGGGTTTTTTTCGGGTTTTTTTTGTATTTTTTTTAAGAATCTTGTGAATGCTTTGGTGACAAAAGTTACCATTCGATTTGCTGGAAAAATATATGTATTGTCTCGATTAATTAAACGAAGAAGCCTGTCGGATTTCAACAATTGCTCAGTATTTCTTCTAGAATTATTGTATTGTGTATAATCTTGTGTGGACGCTTTAAGGACCAAAGTTACTTTCTCGAAATTTACACGAATTGTTCAAGTTATTGCAATTACATCTAGGGATGTAGTTTTCTCTTGTAAACTTTCTGGTAACCTAAGTGAATGTATGATGTACTTCACATTTATACTTTGTTTGAATTAGTGAAATATGAAGCCTATTGACTGTCGACAATCCTTTTAATTATTTTTTGAGCCATGGCTGTTATTGTCTTTGTAGAATCTGGTCTATACTTGATTTTTGTCATGGTTTAAAGTAGTTATATCTTTTGTTAACTTTGTAGAGTCTTATATATCATTTGATTTCCTCTATATGCATATTTATCGAATTTCAACGATTTCTGATAATTACGTATATAATTGTTAGCCTTGATTATGTCACATATTCTTGTCAGTGCACCAATGATATTAGCTATTATGGGCGTATGTTTTGTTACTTGGTAACCTACCTTTTCATCAGGGTATATCTCCCGGAGGCGCAGAGTTAATAACGGGGTTTTTGATAAAATGTAAAAAAGATATAGCTTTTTTCACAATCGCCAGCATTCATATCCTTGCTGTGTATCTGGAGTCGTGGCTGGGATTTCTAAAATCATTCAGCCGCATGTGGCAAGATGATGGACCGACCAGTAGGCCTAACCTTTCCGGAATTTTATTTCAGACATTAAGTCTTTAACTTTTTTTGTGTACGAGCATTTTTAAAAAGCTTCGGTTTTATGATTTAAACAAAACGAACGTAAAGCAATGGATTGATAATGCTAGAATAGTCATTGCATTATCGTGCACACATTTTGAAATACCGGTCGCAAAGTTTTGTTGATGTCTGGTTTTACAGTTCCAGAGTGGCAGTTGAATAAAGCAAGCAAAATATAACAGGCATATAATGTAAGAATAGTAAATATAGAGACTAGTATTTCTGAACATTTATTGCCCCGTCAGATCATCAACAGTCAAAGGGAAAAGGTTTCTAGAGTACAAATAGTTTATTATCTAGTTCGACTCTTTAGCCCATAAATATGCACTTAGATAATTTGCCGCCCCGAAGAAGTGTGGCCCCGGGGCATATGCCCCCCCCTCTCCCATGTGAGGGCCCTAGGTGAGCACCAGCATACGATCAAAATAGACATGAATAACATGGACAAATATTCACCATATACCAATATGGATGACTATACTACTTGTAAAATCATGAAGAACTTGATCGTAATGGATACGAAACACCAGATTAACGCTAGTAGCAAAAGAGAATTCGACCAAAGCGATCTAATGGACACATACTGTACTTGCAGCAGTATAGATATAAAACATATTTATTTAATCAGGCGTTTAACTGACTCTGTATACAATCGTTAATATGTCCATACTCTTGTTGTTTATTTATGATTATATTGTCACTTTGTAAAGTGCCCCTGAACATGTTGTATGAAAGGGCGCACTATAAACATGTTGTAATAATAATACAAATAATAATAATCTCAGGCTCAAACGGAAGTCTACACCTACCAAACAACATCATGTCCAACGCAGCTTTAGGAGTGTCCAGTCAGTCCTAGGGAATTTATAAGCAATAATATGACCGATATTCAAAAACTTGGAATTGGCGATACAGGAAAACATAAAGACGATGCATGTTATAAATGACATGTTATAAATCTAATAGAATTATATGAACGGTTTATTTTCAGAATGTATTTTCAGATATATTTTTTAAATCTTCTCTACTTAATTGAGTATTTAGAAATGCTGTCTTTACTATATTTAAAAATAAACAGATTATTACTTTGTGTAAACTTGTCTGTCTGGTCATTTGTAATTTTGATATACATATAGTAGATCATTTTAACAATGCATAACCTTTGAGATGTGTAAGTGTTTAATTTTTATTGTTCAAAAAAGCATAATAAGTTGTTGAATCAGCTGGGGGGTAGGATGGCTGAATGGCTGAATGGTTAGCGAGCGTGCGGGCAGTATCATAAAGTCTGTCATTGAGTCGACTGGTGTGGTTTCGAATCCCCGGTTGTACGTCACAAGGAGTAGGGGCGCCTGTCCAACCTCGTGGGTTTTCTCCGGGTCCTCCGGTTTCCTCCCACTGCTAAAGACCCCTACGCGCAAGCGAATTATTGAAATAAATTAAACCATATGTTAGTCCCGAAATGACCTAGTTTGTGTCGAGTGGACGTTAAACCCCATTTCTCTCTCTCTCTTTTTTGTTGAATCAGCTATTTCTTCCTTTTTTTTTCTTTTCTCCCGTATTTCGTGGGGAGGGACATTATTCATAGTAAATAGGGTGGATGCGGTTTTGAATCCAGGTTGTACTGAGCGATTTACAATACAGAAAGTTTAAAAAAAATTAAATTACTCAATACAAATAGTTTGATCCCTAATGTAAATCCGTCTGCTTTTCGGGTAGAAATAGTAGAACAAGCTTTATTTTGTAGGTTTTAATGTTTAATGACAAAAAAAACCAATGTCGGTGGTTGGAGGGGCAAAACTGGGGCAAAGTCCAAGGTTAAGAGGGCAAAGGCACGAACTTCAACTAGGGGTAGGGCCCCCCCCCCCCCCTTCCCAGAAAATTTTGAAAAACAGGCTGCCGGAAATGCAGTCTGGCAGTATTTCAGGCACTGATCGTTGAGGTAAAGTGTCAAACGAACGGACTTGCGAACCTCAACGAAGCCCACTCACAAGCGCCAAAGTAGGGAGTCCTTATGGACTGCCGGAAATGTTTATAATGTTATTGACATATCAACTGTGATTTGGCAATGTGTTAATATTGACAGGGGTCATCACTATATTTTAGATTTTTTTCCATCACTTCATGAAGTTTTTTCCAAGATGGCGACCATTTTTGGTGGGAAAATCGGACCATGTGCTGATTTTGATTAAGTAGTAGTGTTTGGTGTTTTCGGGGTCATAGATTCCATTCCTGGCATTTACAACGTTGTAAAATCATCACATGTTCACATACTTAGCATATTTCCAAGATGGCGGTCATTTTTGACGGGAAAATGGGACGATGTGCAGATTTTGATTAAGTAGTATTGTTTGGTGTCAATATATATGTTTACGGGAGCGCAGAATCCATTTCTGACATTTACAACCTTGTAAAATGATCATATGTTCACACATATTTTCATATTTACAATATTGCTGCCACTTGTGGCGGGCAAATCGGACGATATGCTGATTTCGATTAAGTAGTTGTCTTTGGTGTCAATATATATGTTTTCGGGGTGCAGATTCGATTTCTGCCATATACAACTGCGTAAAATATTTCCAAGATGGCGGAACGTTTTCTAAACACATTATTATCATTTATTTACTTGTCGTTGTTATGTACAAGTCTGAGTCCAATTCTGCTACGTAGGCTATTAGCTTGTAGCACATTCCTGAAAGCCGTTATCGTGTCGTACCCATTTGGTATATAATCTAACGATGAAAATTCCTCATCCCAGATGACCACTGAGCTGAAATCGATTTTCCTATTCACTCGGTCTCCTGGCATGAATGCAAAGAGAGCGTAATGGCAGTATGGGGCTTGTGCCAATAAGCGTGGCAAGAAATTGACACGCGCTCATCATGCTCATGCCACGACCACACCAAGCGCTTACTACGCCCAGCGCGCGCCAGCCAAGCTCTGGCTACGCGCAAAGTGTTTCACCATGATCTTGCAGTTAACCGTCAGACCGGGATACGTTCTCACTACACTCCCGTGCGTGTCTACCGGACGTAAGACGCTCTCTTGCCACGGCTACAGAGACTGTGCCATGCTCAACCCGTCCTCAATCACTTTCAAAGCAGATTACCACCCAAAGTCAAGCAATCATGAACATTTTATAGTTTTCTTGATATTTTCTCTTTGGATGCTAGACTGGAGTTGATGGGCGAAGTTCACTATCTTCCTTATATAGACATAAAGGCCGTAACAGCGTAGTAGTTACCCGTCAGACCGAGATACGTTCTCACCACAATCCCATGACGTGCCTACCGGGCGTAAGACGCTTTCTTGTCACGCCTACAGAGACTGTCATGCTCATCCCGTCCTCATTCACTTTCAAAGCAGATAACCACCCAAAGTCATGCAATCAAGAACATTTTATAGTTTACTTGATGTTTCCTCTGTGATTGCTAGACTGGAGTTGATGGGCGAAGCTCAGTATCTTCCCTATATAGACATAAAGGCTGTAACAGCGTAGGAAGCATGCGGCTAGGAGCATCGTTTCAGCCTGGCGGCAACGTGGTTAAAGGTGGTGGGGACGTGGCTGTAAGTGAAATACACGCCAAGAAGCCCTCGTGGCATATATTAAGTTATCAACTGACTTCCAAGTAGAATGCGAAACGAGCATGTGGAATGCTGTTGAGTTGGAAACATAAAGTACGTCACCACTTACACAACAACGTGGCGGCATACCACTCTGACATCACGGCCACCAGTTCTTTCAATGGTGATGGCAGAGATGGCATAAATGACATGCACGTCGTAGTTTAAGTGGTGATATAGTTTGTTTTTCCAACGTGGTTCCTTCCACACGCAGCTCGAGGCCAGTTGATAATATAATCTATGCCACAAAGGTTTCTTATAGCAAATATTACTACACGTATTTCATTTGCAGTCCTTGTTTTATTTCTTTGTATACCGCTTTATACATTTCTGTTCTACTTTTAATTTATTAATTACATTTTCAATAGTTTCACATTTTTAACCATCGTTAATTTTGTATCTATAACTGACAGACAACATAAATTGAAAGTCCCGATGAAGCCACCAAGTCTTAAAATCAGATTTCAGTCCAACTACTAAAACGCGATCGACCAAATAAATGTGCCCTTTTCCTGGTACTGGCTTTCAGGAACATGCTACAAGCTTATACATAGCAGAAATGGATTCAGAAACCTTTTCAGTGATGTGTTTAGAAAATGTCCTGCCACAAAAGGCGGCCATTTAACGCAGTGGTAAATACTAGAAATCGAACTGCCGTTGAAAACATATATTGGCATATTGCACAAAAATCGGACTATATAATCATAATCAGCACATCGTCCCATGGCAGCCATATTGGAAATATTCTAAATATGTGATCATTTTACACAGTTGTATACGACAGAAATGGAATCTGTACCCCGGATCCTGATATCATAGACGACTACTTAATCAATATCAGTGAATCGCCCCATTTTCCCGCCAAACATGGCCGTCATCTTGGAAATATGCAAAATAGGTAAACTTGTGATCATTTTACACAGTTGTACATGTAATTGCCAGAAATGGAATCTGCGTCCCGAAAACATATATCCTGATACCAAAGACGACTACGTAATCAATATTAGCGCATCGTCCCATTTTCCCGCCGAAAATGGCCGTCCTCTTGGAAACATGCAAAGGGGTAAACTTGTGATCATTTTACACGGTTGTAACTTGCAGAAATTGAATCTTATGTCTCTGAAAACAAATATATTTACACCAAACACTACTACTTAATCAAATCAGCCCATCGTCCGATTTTCCCGCCAAAAATGGTCGCCATCTTTGAAATATCTTCATGAAGTGATGGAAGAATATCTGAAATATAGTCACGACCCCTGCCAATATTACTACATTGCTAAATTACAGTTGATATGTCGGTAACATTATAAATAAAGTGAAAATAAAAAAATAAGTTGCAATATTATCACAGATAATGGCCTCCCATACTATGAAGACCTATTCAGAAAAAATGTCAACATTGTTTTTTGGTCATTTAACATCCAAACCTACAAAATTAAGCTTATCTCACGATTTCTACCCGAAAAGCCGACGGATACGAATTATGTAACAAACCGACGGGACTAGAACGTTTTACACTAGCACACTTAAATACCAAATGGGAACACATATGATGCTCATGACATTACATCATATCAAGAATCTGTTACGCAGAATACAATCTTCTCTGTGTTTGTTTACAGTCCCACCTGTCAATCCAATAGTGTTCATCTCTCGTATGATAATCACGATTCTTGGCCATGACTAGCAGGCACATTTCTACTCCATGAGATTTGCTCTTATGACGCTCTGGGTTAGTGATTCCCCTTAATAGTTGAATTAACTGCTTAAGATTTATTCCTTAGTATAGCTTCTTTTGGTTGTCGCTTTATATTACGCTTAATATAGGCCTTCCATCGACAACAACTCCCTCATATTTCGAATAGTTTGCCATCAGCGTTCATACAGGTTTACAATTCTGCCTCTGTGGGAAAGCTTAGCCTAGACGTGTCTCCCACTGCTAAAGACCCCTACGCGCAAGCGAATTATTGAAATAAAATTGAACCATGTGTTAGTTCCGAAATGAAACAGTTTGGATCGAGTGGAGTGGACGTTAAACCCCAATTTCTCTATTGAAATAAATGATGAACAGGAAACTTTAGCTACATAAACCTTTTTTTCTGTTTGTTGTTAAATTGAATCAATGTGCACAAGGCTTAGGAGTTTCAAAACAAAGACTGATTTCTTAGAGGAATAGACGCCTATTTGTTTAATGAGATTTAGTCGTTTATTTGAAACATATCACAATAATAATGTATAAATTTAAAACTCAATTCTGAAATATGTACATGTATACTTAAAGTTGCTGATATGATCGATAACATTCAGGTTTCATCGTGCAACATAAAACGTTAATATTAGTGAAGGACATTGATCCTAAAATATATACAAAACATTTTAAACACATATAATTAAATTATTCATGTTATGTTTGTTATGATTTTTAACTTTCAATATATATTATGTACAAAAATATTACACAATTTAATATAATATTAGCTATATATTAATAGACAGTCATAGTATAGATATAGTCTTTGTGTTATCCACATCTAAACACCTCTGAAACTCTTGATACTTCTACAATTTCTGTTTTCGTTCGTTTACCTGAAAGGATATATTAATAACACCATTTTAATACCAATACCCACCAGTTCCCACATTTGCTCTGACAAGTCTTAAAGATAGGCTATGTGCGGAGGTCTTCAATTTTCAATTTATCTTAATTTTAAATTTATTAAAGAAATATTATCGGCTTAAATGGTTACCATTGTTTTGAAATTCATTAAAGAAATATTGGGCACAACTTACAAAATTAGAAAATGTCGGATTAAATATTTACCACTGTATTTATTCGGGTAGCTATACCATCGAGTTGTCCGAACACAGGAGTTGCACCATTTGACTATTCAAGACTGATTTTGGATTACTCTCATGCAGGGAGTTGTAACATCGATAATATTATAGAATAACCATCATGTAATCTTTTAATTTAAACATCAAGTAATCCGCCAAGAGGTGCCATTATCTAATATGTCAGGAGGTAAATGTGGACCATTCAAAAATCTAAGAGGTGTTTTAGTTTTACCATCAAGTAATCTATCAGGAGGTAGTGATATCATCAAGTAATCTATCAATAGGTAGTTGTACCAGCAAATAATCTACCACAAAGCACCCAGTTGTAGTTTTGACAGTTGTAGTAGTTGTTAGGAAGTAGCTGTACCAAGACTATCTGGTCGTTGTACCAATACCATCAAATCATCCGTACTTGTACCATTGTGTAGGGGATTGGTGCAGTAACTTTATCCACCATGATCTATCAGTATATTCTAATCCATTGGTGCTTTCTTAATTCTCACCAGTATAATAGAATGTGTACCGTTCGGTGTGTAACTTGTATATTGTATTATTTTGCTTACAGAAATATGAACGTGAACAAACTTTGTTCAGCAATTTTGAAAAAAGGAACATGTAAACAGGTATAAATATGTGTAAGTGTTTCTGAATGAAATATATATATGTGTATAACCAATATGCAATATACAACACGAAAGGCTCTAACAACGATAGAAACTAATTGAAATTAATATACATATAACAATAAATTAAATTCTAAAAACTATACGAAGACAATAATCTAACAGTAATGAAATTTAACAACAACTAAAAAAAAGTAAATGATTTAAATTAACTCAATACATATTGTTTACAATACGTAATATGAAAATACTACTAACCAGCTAATCTACACACATAACACGCGAAAATCTATCCCATTTCTACTATCTAGCACACACGATGTTAATTCAAAGTCTAAACCAAAGGTTGTCCTCACAAATAGATTAAAATACAAACAAAAGAAAAATACATAACTCTGTGAAATATATAGAAACAGCCTCCCCAAAAAACTTTAAACTGTGCTAAACCAGTGGAACCCTAAACACACACACGCACACACAGTTACAAAAACAAAGTATCTGGAAAGCTAAACACTAAGGTGATTTGGGATATTCTTTGTGATCACGATCAAGTTCTATTTGTAGAACAAAAGTTTTAGATTTTCTAGAATGAACATTTATTACTATATTCTATAATAAAAATGCCATTAGAAAATTGAAAGCCATTTAAATACATTGTTTAAAAAACATGTAAAATGACCACAATGACCACAAAGGTTATGTTCAAGAAGAAAATTTAGTGGTTTTGGTTTCATATTTATAATTATGCTAACAACGTGCAAAATTGATATAGGAAATATTAATATGCGGTTAAATGTTTTAAAGCAAGATACATACATTAGTAAAGGAAGCTACTCTGAAATATATTAAAGATGCATTATGTAAGATTTAGATAAAGGGCTGGCCGCACTCTTGCCAACTAGTTCAAAAATAGATAAACAAAAAATGAATATATTGAAAAGTTCAGTCAAATTACTTTATTCTGGGCGCACATATGAGTCTTTGAAGGTTTGACTATATAGTCTCGATTGTCAAGAATCATGACTCCGATAATAAACAAAATCTCGATTATCCATTTTTAAATTACATTTTTTAAATAGCGAATGTGTTCTAGAGAGTTGATTATGGGCTTGCCATGTAAATAAATGTATAATTAATAATGTATTATAATATTTGAAGACAAAAGAAAGATCTGTAATAGGCAGGTTTAGTGCTAACATAATGCATCTTGAACTGATTATAGTTAATATCATACTCACATGCGTAGTTCTGTTAAGATCCAGCTACAGGGTTGGATGCAGTTTAATTAATTTTTTCTACACCATAACAAAATTAAACCCCCACCAAATTATTAGCATGTAAAATTAGGGTCGAAGATTAATATAACAAGATGCATTTAGTGCGTTATTGTGACATCAACGGTTCACCCAACCTGCAAATGACATCATAGCTGAATACCACCACCTGCAAACAAAAATATCACACATCATTAGTAGGGTTACAAGCTTCTAAATCAACAAATACAACGAATACCCATGAGGTTTTACCGACCGGTCTTCCTCTGGAATGATTACACCTATGTAATCAAGGTCACTTATATATAAAAGACTACCACATATTTTTTTAAAAAGGCTAAAACTAGATTCATTAACTGTTACTGCACATCAACCTGTTGACTAAGCACGGAATAAGGAAGGGTCATTCTGCAATTAATGGGTACCATCTCTCACTATATATATTTGTTAACCATGTATTAGTAATTTCCACATATGAAACTGAAACAAATATATTCTCTTGTGTCGAAAAAAAGAAAGAATCTGTAATTGATTCTCCAGATACTAACCTTTGTGATCAACTGCCGATAAGAATGGAACGAAAAACAACAGCCGTCGCGATACTCAAATTCTACTAATCAAATGGACGACAGAGGAACGCAACGAACGCGGAAATCGACTAAACAACAAAACAATAATGAAGACAAAAACACTTTAAATCTTACCACTACCTCTAAGACAATACCTCTTCTACTGTTAAATCCACAGATGACCAATACAGATGTTACCGTATATTAGCTAAAACCAATTGCTATTTTCAAAACAGAGATAACTGTATCATGTTAAAACAGTTGAATCTCTTTGATATGAACCAAAAATAAAACCATCGATGGGATTGAATTTTATGGGTTTCTATTAGCTGGATGTTCATAAAAGTCGAAATTAAACAAACCAACATCCACTATATCTTACTAAGTGAATATTCAATTTATAGATTGACCCAATCCATTACTTCATTTTGACCTAAATCAAACAGGTTTATCATTTTACATTTTCTTATGGTTTATTTTATCAAACTTTTAGATTGAAATACATCTGAGTCCGATATCTAGAAAAAATGAGACATCATTCATAATATCTGTTGTTATAAAGGTTTACAGCAATGTCCGGTAACATCTGGAAGAACAAAACACTCAAGACTTTCACTCAACCCAAAACAACTATAAACTAACGGTACTCACCTACACAGAACCATATTAAAACAGTATACAATCCTAGACCACCATCTACTCATAAGCCAAACTGAACCAATTTAATACCAATACTGGTCAAATTGTGTTAATCCAAAAATTGTTAATTGTGTTAAATTGTCTAATAGTAATTTGTTATCAATATAGGTGGTTAGGTGATGTGCAAGGGGGTGAGGTGTTAAAGCCGTTCCTCGTAATCCAGAATGGCATCGTCTTTTCTTTGAAAACGTGATTTGATTACAGATCGGTTATAGGGAAACTCATAATTGCATAGTAATTGCATACGATAGATCGATGGCTACAGTCAGGCAATTTTTAAGTTTATAAATTAAAAGTATTTCCTATATTATGTTAGTCAACAAATTTCTCAAAATACTGAACCAAATCTTTAAAAACAGACTATTATTAAACACTTATGCTAAAATATGTTTAATAATACTGCTTTTTTTTATTTCCTTTGTCTTAGTTTTCGTAAAAAAAGAAGACCCGAAGTAATTATTTCACATTGCAAAAAAAAGAAAGCAAGGTTTTTGTTAATGAAAACCCATTACATGTATTTTGAGTATTATCTACGCAATTCTGAATTTCCCGTTAAACATCCTTTGGTTTAAACATAGTATATTTTAACTTCCAAAATGGCTATGAGAGAGAGCTAGAGAAATGGGATTTAACGCCCACTCGACACAAACTAAGTCATTTCGGGACTAAGTCATTTCGGGACTAACATGGTTCTATTATATTTCAATAATTTGCGAGTGCGAAGGGGTCTTTAGCAGTGGGAGGAAACCGGAGGACCCGGAGACAACCCACGAGGTCACGTACAACCGAACAATCGAAACCACGTCAATTGATTCAATAACAACCCTTATGATGCTTCGCGCAACAGTTAACCATTCGGCCACCCAACCCCCTAAAATGGCTATGATTTGTGCAGTTACTTAAAAAAATTATTCATCACCGATGTCTATTACAAATTTAATGAAAATATTTCTGACAAGAGCATCTTAATGATATATTATATTTAAACCAAGGAATGAAAATCCCGGTAAGAGATTTAGAGATTTCTTCACACATCTCTTACCTTCATCCAAGCTTTAACCCGTTCACTTCGAAACCCTGCCCACCCATTGCATTGTTATAACAAAATAACACAAAATATAGATAGAATTCCGCCACCTACCTCTTCTAAACTGGATTTGTGAAAGAAAGAAAGAAGAGAAGAATGGTAAATACTAGTGTACTTTTTTACTTTTAATCACGAACCCAATGACTAATTTTCCGTACCAAATGGAGATAAGTAAATGTATTTACATTTATTTTGAAAGTTACTTTTAAGAAATGAAATAAAAGGTTTGATTGGTTTTGGTTCAGATAAAAAAAAATCCAGCCCATCCGTATCTTCTTTCTTTCATACTTCGTAATAAAAAGTAAGTCATTTTTTATATATATTATTGTAAATATTTAATACAAGTATGAAAGGTATAAAATAATTTATGTACAGAGCAATCCATCCCGTAGTTATTTATATACAATATATAAGAAGATTAACAAATTAATGCGATGGGTATATACATGAATTTTATAGTTCATTCACCGGCTTATTTTTTGTTATTTTTCTTGGACTTAAAAATGTCCTTATGTAGTAATTGTTAGTTCTTCCATTTACACTATTTACACTGTAGAGAAAGATTACATATATACATATATTTCATAAATACCGCGATAGCGAAATTAGCGCGATTGTTGAAATACCTTTCGGGTATAGCGAATATCTTTTTACACGGCTGTTAGACGAAACAAAGCGAAGACTGCAACGAAACTCTTGATTCTATACGAAAAATAATGAGAATACAAAGTGCTAGAACAATATTAACCATGGTACCTGTGTGAAAGGTCAAAAGTTCTAATTCCCCAAAGTTCAAATCGCATGCAATCAAAGTTCTCAAAAATGAACTCGCCAAAAACGTCCGAAGAAATTTTCCGCAAAAAACAAAAATAAAAAACCAACCGAATATGCAAAAACTAAATACTAAATTATTCTTTTTAAACCATAAATAAGATTCTCCATGCCTTAAACAATTCAAGCAACATCGTAAAAGACGATTTAGTTTGCCTCCGTTTATAATTATGGAAGCCATAATTTTTCAAGTTTCATGCTTATAATTAGTGAAATTGTCACCGATACTGTGTGCAGTATGTGGGTATAATATACAGTTATAATCGCGCAAAAGTTTGAAGCTTCAAACATTTGACTTTTGTCTCCTTGTTTGCCAGTGATATATCTTTACGTAACACTACGACTGGCAAACACAGAATTGAAATAGAACAAGCACAAAACTCATATTTGCATGCTATTTGATCAATCATTATCATTAGTCTTTGTTTCCTTTTCGATATACATATTTTCAGAATGTTATAACTTGGATGCACCATGAAGATAAAAAAAACATTGTAAAGTGGCCTCCAATAAAAAAGAATGTGGACGAAATTGCGTGATCATCTTTTTTTCATTGTGGATTTTTTTTTGCGATTTGATTTCTTTGTCTATGTGTTTGACCATTAGTCAGGGTCGGTTGTGTTTGGGTTTACAATTTACATCTATCTATATTAAATAGGAAACTTAGGCTAAGTCAAAGTGAAAAGTAGCATTCAAAAAGGATAACCAACATATTTTCAATCACCAGGTAACTCCGGTCATTTCACTCAAAAAGCCCCTGCATTTCGTTCAAACTGGAATACTTACATACTGGTGAGCTTAAACAAAAAGGTTTGAAAACCATACCATACAGGAGGTATGTGTCTGGACTCTGGAACATCAGGATTTCTATAACAACATCGAGGACCAGATTCTGCTGCTCATCTACACAAGCAATGGACACATAGCAACTCATGTGTCCCATTATATTTTCCACAGTTTCACATAAGCTCGCACACAAATATCACATGGAAATCACGGATAAAATCAGTGAGTTTCTGGAATCAGTCCACAATTCAATTTGGACGTACTGATCTGTGTTGGTATAAAAGTTTGATCCATCTACATATTTACATATTATCTGCATTATATGGTATAAAACTGTACATTGGATTATATATACAAGGATTATAAGATACTGTATTGGTTCTCTACATATCCCGACCCGTTATCTTGTTGTTAGGAATAGTCCAGATAAAGATTTGATATGTATATGGTTTACAAAAAAATTATTACCTTAGTTTATAATGTCTAATTAAATACCGTCCCTTATTAAATAATTTCACACTGACAAATTAACAGCGGACATATCGTCTGCATACAATTCTCACTGCACCAATTGTCAAATCGCTTCAAGCCGGAATATCGCCCGATCGCGTGGCAATTATAGTTCTTTTTCCTTCTCCAAAAGTGTATTTTGGATCTGAATTTGTTCCGTTTGTTCTGACTTTTTACAACTTCTTTACCAGAAGACAGGGGTGCTTTGTGGCGTTTGTCATGGACAATACTTTGTTTTGTTGTCGTTTTGGGGGCCATGCTCTTTCTAGAACTTTTTAGTGTATTAATAACCCATGTTGTAGATGTGCGCTTCGGAGCTCGGTCCCACTTTTCCGATGCTTTAAATGATACTGAATGTGACTTTGGTCGTGTTGAGGTAGTGGGTAAAACGGATGATTTGTTTGCTGGGGTTGTATTGCTTGTGGTTGTTGTTAATAGCGTTGGCGAAGTGGTTGTGGGTATGGCTGTTGTTGTTTGTGTCGTTTTTACGATCTCAGTCGTGGTTGTCGGAATCGGAGTTGTGGCTGAAGGTGTTTCTGTCGTCGATTTCGTTGACGATGTTGACCGTTTTTGAACTTTTGCATGAACATTTGGTACTATTTGATTTGATTCTTGTGGTTGACTTGTTACTTTAGCCCTGATCGTTGGTGCAAATTGTTTCCTTATTATATGATCGGGTTCTTCTACGACAACATTTCGGTGGATTGTATTACGTCCTGTATACGTAGGTGACTGCTGTTGTTGTTTAATATTTTGTCGTTTATATGCTTCTAGTTGTCTTCTTTGTTCCCGATGTAAGAGATATGGATTTCGCATTGGTACAGGTTGGGGAGTATCGATGCCCCCGTTAGGTGTATAGCTATTCATCCAACCTTGCGCTTGTGGTGGATATACAGAATACGTTGGATAAACGGACCTCTCAGGTTGACAAACACACATGCCACCCGGGCAGAAATTGGCATTACAGTTAGCAGTACACCATTCATCCATACCACCCCCAAGAGTAATGGTAGCATGACACTTCAATAGAGGGCGCACGTTATTCCATAGATTAAGAATAGGCCTTTGATATTGGTTCCACCAGTAACTTATCAACGGATTAGCATGAGGACTACTTGGGTTAGCAAAGGGACTGCTTGATCGGAAAGGTAGGCGATGACGATGAACTTGGGAATGCTCTGGTTGCGCATTTTCTATTACTGGATGTTCGGGATATTCGATAACATATTCAGGTCCGTGAGTCGAATCTTTATTCAACGTATTCATTCCATTATTGGCGTACTCGTAATTATCAGAGAGACGTATTTTCGGTGCCACCCCTTTATGCCCATGATCCACAATATCTTTTGGGTGTCTTGTGATAAACACGGGTGATCGAGCTGTAACACTAGATGAAGTAGGCGAAGGAGCTTGGATATGCGGATAGCCATTTCGAAGACCAAGAGCAGGCGAATCGGGGATATCTGTGCTCGCCATCATTGATTTTGATAGATCTTCGGCTACACGAACACTCTTTTCATTTGCGGTTTTACAGGGTGGTGTTGGTTCCTTGTTGCGTTTCGCTGGTTTAGCGGTGGTTGTTTGTCGCCGTGTGGTCGTTGGCGTTGGTGTTGTTGTACTAGTAGTAGTTCTTGGCCAGTAACGTTTCAGTTTTTGCTGACGTCTCTGTAATTTCTGCTTACGTAAAGCTTCCTGCCTTTTCAACAATTCTTGTCTTTTTGCTATCAATTTACGTCGCCTTTCTTGAATTTTTCTCGTATTAATCAGCCATGAGGGTAATTTGGTTTTCTTTGGCTTACTGAAGGTAGATTTTGGTCTTTCTGTTGTGGATTGTTGAGATTTATTCCTCAGCCATTTCGAAAGTTTGTTCGGTTTAGCTGCTGCCTTCCACCTGTATCTGGGCTTACCAACCTCAGCCTGGGGTTGGATTAGGTAAGTTTGTGACGAGGTTTTGTCTTTTTTGTTGGTTTTTTTCGTGCGCAGTTTTTCTTTGAATTTGCCAAGTTTTGACGGTTTAGGCGTCGTGATCTTAGAAGTCGTTACTTTGGTGACGATTTTTTTCGGGGGTCTTGAGGTGGTCCTTGCCTTTGTGGTCACAATGCTGTTTTTTGGATTGATTCTACTACCACGAATTGTAGGTGATATAGTAAAAGGGGTAGTCGTATCCTTAACAATAGACCCAGAACGTGTTGATGGCACAGTTGCTTTGATCCAGCCAGACTTTTGTCCTTTTGGTAAAATTTCGACATCGGCGCAGTTGTAGAATTCTTCCTGCGGTCCACACCCGAGACAAAATACACCAGAATTATCATCTTTATCCCAAGTGTTACCTGTAACAAAACAGTTTATTAGTTTTTGTACAACAGGCACACTAGTCCGTTCAAATTTAGTTACTTCCAAACTGTGATATAATTTTATAGTTTAGTTTAGGAATATCGGATCGTTAAAATTTCGCTTGTTCAGTATTTTGTAATATCTTTCAAAATATAAAATATTTATAAATCATTTTATCATACCATTTAAATAAATCTAAACAGATTAGCTTTTTAAAACAAAAACGCAGGTCAACTTTAAGAAAACCGCCGTATTCCCTAAAATTATGTGAACAATCTAATCTATATAAGTAGTGATTATTAGTAGTAATTTATTCTACGCTTTTAAAGACGTATGAAGGCATTATGATCCGGAGGCAGTAAAAAGAAATAACCAATTTTAGCCCTAGTTGTATGACTTGCCATATCTACGAAACTACGCAATTTTCTTGCACAGGACTATAATGACTTGTACAAACATGTACATTTTTGATAATGCCACTCCATGGTACGCACAGCACGAACTATCCTGTTTATTAAAGAGTTTATGCAATTTAACAGCAAAATTAATCGAAATAGCTAAACCATTTTGGACTGCATTATTCAGACAATAAGTATGCCAAACGAAGAAAACAAGTTAGGGTTTAATGTATTAGTTTCAATATTATTGATTAATGCGTTTACTCTGTCACTCATATTTTCACGTAAATCGAAAAAAAGTATTCGGTGTCTTGTGTCAATATTTTAAGAACGTTCCCTTATTCTATTAACGGCGCACATGCCTATGATATGACTAAACGACACGTAATGCCAAACCATTCAATAGGGTTTCCGGTGTACAAACAACTTCTGAAGCTTCTAGACTGAAATAGACATAACCTTGTATAGGTTCATCCAGTGTCCTACGATATTTTACAATAATGCGTAAAATCTATTTACAATAACTTCTATTTTGCCAAGACCACTTTCCCTATACAACAACAAATAATAATATTATCACCAATGATGTACATATGTCTAAATATTGTTTCATTTATAGCCAGATCATTTCAATATCATGTTGTTAAGAATGACCCTTTCCTAATAGAAAGATATGGAAGTAAATAGAAAATTCGGAATTTCGAGATTGCAAGTATGAGACATTTCATTATAAGAAATTTGGAAGTATACTAAAATTCCAGAACACTTCTCAAAGGGGGATCTGACAAAATTCTTCTAATGTTATGAGAACAGAATATTGATTTACCTGTTCTGTATTTCCATTGCATTACACACTGTTTACACGTTAATCCTTCTGGAAGTTTGACACTAAAGTTGAAGAAAGCATTATATTTTCCTTGTGGAATTGGGAATGTCGTCCCTTTTCCGTCAGCTCTTTGCAAGACATTTTCATCTAAGCATTTTTGGGTAACTTTTTTCTTGGGATCGTTTACAGGACACATTTTGAACTCAAACCATCCTTGGTGATTTGCCGTTAAGTGAACTACAATAGGAATAATATCGCCTTCATGATAACTTCGTCCTATAATTCCATTAGCAAATTTTCCTCCCGCCTCGTGGTCTTTCTTGCCATGATAAGCATCTCCACAAATACCACATTTACCTTTGTTTCGTATCCACTGAACCTTAAATATAAGAAACACTTATAGAACTTTGGGCATGCGACAATTTAATTTGGGGAATCCCAGTATGTTTTTAGTTTTTAGTTCAGGAGCGGTTCAAAAGCGTTTATATGTGTTCTTGCTTGTCTGTTCGATATGCTAATGGCTATTTTCTCCAATTTATTACTGAGGTGAGAAAGAAATTGTCAAATACTCTTATTGGCATGGTTTTATTGTTTTGCCATTAAATCTTTGTTTGACCTATATCAGGGAGAAATATGCATGCGACATAGATGCCTGCAAGAATCGAGAAAAGGGCACGTTTCACCGATTGTTTAATTCGCTAACGCAAACTTTAAATAACCGTTATTTAACCTTAATCATCAAATAATTGCAAAACAATCTAAATCCGATTGATTAATGGCATGTTTACTTAGCTTATAATCAAATTTGCCAACTAAATATGCCTGCGTATCTTTTATGTATGATTTAATACACAGAGCCCCTTTGTTGAAGTACTGCTTCAAATAATTTAGAAGGTCGTCTTTATCTAAATTGGTTATCCAAAATGAAACTCTACCTTGGATTCTAAAACATGAGGCATTGTGAACTTGCTGTTTTGTGAAGGTTTCTGCGATTTCCAAGGGGTTTTGGAAGCAATATGCAAACAATTTTGCTATACATGATACCGTTCCTGTCAACAACATATCCAATACCCGATGAAAGCTAAGTTAGATAATAAACTCATTGATTGTACTTCGCCAGCAGTGTCAACAGTAATATTGGCCTTTTGTAAGTGATCGCATGTTGCCTTCCCCTTTTTTCAAGATTTTTATTCCCAAAAATTAATTGATCTTCGATATCGACCTGTGATGTCAAATATTATTCAGGAATAAACTCGTTCTTTTCAAATGTCATAATATGACAAATATCCAGTAAATACATTGTTCACTTCTCTAGACTTTACAGATGGATTTTCATTCTTCCTCGCAAAAAATTGAGACGTCTGAATTACGAACGCTCTTATATGGATTTTGTGTGAATGTCTATAAAGTGAAAGAGAATCTTGTTAGAATAGGGGGTTTGCAAAAGGCTATGGATTCTTAACAGTTTTGACAAATATTATAATTTCACTATATATGAACGTCTGAACTATGTTCCAGATCAGTCAGAAAGGTGACTACAAATGCACCAACAACCATTTATACCACATCGACCTTATATGCACTTCCCAGATAATGACAATTCGTATCAGAGGAATCTTTATCTTAAGCTTATGTATTTACAATCTTAGTTATTTATTATGCAATCTTCAGAATTTAGAATAAATAATTATATATATATACCAATACATGTTATAAAATATTAATCTCAATTGTTTGGTAATACATTAATTTTACTTACCATACGGCCACCACAATATAATTCATTATCGTTGTAATTAATAGGGTTGTTAAATCCAAGTCTCCACATACTATTTCTGGCCGGGGGATCCATCATTCGACCATGTCCATCAGAAAATGACGGACACAGAGTAAGCAATATTATAGTCACTAAGATATTTCTTATAATCATTTCAGTAGATTTGCAAATGATCATAACCAGCCTTGTAAAATCTTTAAAGTTAGGTTTCTTTAATCCAGATTTCAAATAACAAATCAGTAAAATCGAAGTACAATATCTCCACAATAACAGATCTCTTGTGATAATAATAAATAGGAAAAGACAAGTAACAAAATGTTGGAGGTTAGTTGATCTCGTCCTGGTTTCACGTTTTAATCCTTTGGAGGTCTTGTACCTTTATGATGAAATGAAGGTTCGGGCTTTCTTTTAGATCAACTCCGTGGTGTGTGTCAAGCTGAAACAGCCAACCTGATTCATGGAATCAGTAAAGTGAAATATGTCGAAACCGGATCGGTATACAAACTATGAGGACGAGAAGAACTGCTAACACCGTGTTTGTTTATACGTTCTCATGGCGTCTTCGGAAAACAATGAGGCCTATTTCGCAGCGATCAAACAGTGGAGAACTTCGAACATAGAATAAACACGACAGCCGTTTCCATAACATACCTTTAAGTTAAGTTATTATTATAAAAAGTTGGAAGATTTGAACAAGATGTTTAGCCATCTTCAACAATGCCCACCCTTTCCTATTTTTATAACATTATGTTTTGTTCCTATAATGTTCCTTAGTCCAAAACCTGTTAATGTCGGAATGTGGTTTCAGTTGAAATGTTTTCCGAAAAAATGTTTTTGTGACATTTTCTGTTATCCAAAAATAAATATGACTTATTTGAAACATTTAAGCAAGTGAATTGCAACTCTCAGTAAAAGAAAATAAATGAAATAATAACAAATACACCAAAAATGTATTTCTATTGAATTGATATTTATCAGTACTAGTGAGATCATAATCTGGGAATTCCATTATATTATAAATGTATTTATCGAATCTATAGTTTTGAAAATTGGGATAAGGCAGTATAGATTTTTGGAAAGACAAAACGTTAATCTTGGATTTAAATCTCAATATTTCGGACAATGATTTTCATTTGTTGCCTTATTGCATTTATGGTGATACGCAACATCAGCATGGTTATAAATGAATAATTGTCAACGCTTGGGATTGTAAGCCTACATTCTTGAGGGAAAGTATATTGTTTCCGGCCTTTTATCTGACATGTATTGCCGTACTTGCCTTTCACCAGTATCTGAAATCCTGACACCGTCCCCTTAATTGGCGACATGTTTTTATTTTTTTTATTTTTTTTATTGAGGTTTAAAAAAAAAAAAAAATTTAAAGCATGTAGAAAATTGACCCATTAGGGCAAGACGATATTATTGTTTAAACAGCTAACCTTTTTGCTGTAATATATTTTTAAGAATCTGTTTATCAGTGCTTTAGTATCAGATGTAAAATAATGGATCTGTCAAAACTATGGCATGATATTTAGGCTATATGTATTGCTGTTTAAAAGCGGTTATAGTTGACGTCGAGCGAATAATCCAACGATTTTAAACATACGCTTTGATGGGTTTAACCTATTTGTTTGTCAGTCTTAACTGTGCTTGACATAAAGATAAAACAAAACCCAGTAAATCAGCTTTCTACAGTCAAGTGCATGTATTAAGTTGAGAAACTTGTCAGAGGTTTATCCTCAAAACAACAAGCAAATAATGAACACATGAATGGATACCCATTCCGACTGAAAGAATTATTAAAGAGGGAGATAAAATAGTAAAGTTAAGCTAGAAAATATTAACAAAGATTGAACGATAGATTAATGTAAGGTTGGATAATGTTGCATATTCTATATTGAGATTGCAAATTCTAATACTTTGATCTTAGAATTTTTAAACAATTGCCTAGGTTTATAAGAACACATGTATTGATTTCTACACAAAATAAAAAGATACAGTAAATACTGTAATAAGCAAGCATTCAAGGGACCGACCTATCGAATGTCAGAATTTTAAAGTTATCTTCCAATTCAGATTTTGAATTGCGTAAGCATTATGAATTTAGCAAGAGCACTAGGATACTGGCATTGCTGTATTGTGTATAAAAACACTCTCCTGGCATTGTTGGGCGTATAACACAGGCTATGACAAAGACTCGTTTATGATTAAAATGAAAAAAAAATAAAATGTATAAATGTTTACAAGCAAGCTGTACATCGATAACAAACGCAATTTTGGCGTGCAATTTCAAGTACCATTTATCTATTCAAATCCTTCGGTGCCCTAAAGGCTCTAAACTCCCCTTTTTACCAGCAAACCGAGATATTATCAGAAAAAGAAATTAGACCTGTCTCTTTTGTCATGGCCAGCAAAAATTAAATAAATTTTACGAATACAAGTTTTGGTTCTGCAAAAAGTAGTAGCTGAAACAAAAAGGGGATATGGCTGCTAATGAAAATGCTGTTTAAAGTTTACACAGCCCGTTTAAGAACTCCGCTGGTTTTGTATTGATATAAATGTCTGAAAAAAGGATTTCTTCACCCAGACCTGCTTACATGACGTAAATATTGCCACAGCCTTTCTTCTTCTTTTCGACTGTTTGACAACAAGTATAGTTTTGTTCCACATACTGACACATGCAGAAGAATAAATATTTCATTGTCATTATAGGTAAGGTGACCGAGAACATTTTTTGGCAAACGTGGGAATTGATCTATACCCATGTATTGCGAGACCAGCTACACCTTTCACCACGATTCAAAATACTAGATTTTCAGTATATAGAGACAAAGGGACTAGCAAAATTGGAAAAGCACACACTACAACATTGTATGATTCCCTTTTTTCTTTAAAGGGTCTGGTGCTAATATATTAATATATTAATATATGGCAATATCCAACACATTAACAAATATCGATACATTAACAAATATCGATATGTTTACCTGCCAAACACAATGGCATCAATATAATAATTTTGTTCTTGGTAACCCATGTTCTCGTCAGTAATGGATATATTAAATCATTTCTGTTAGATGTGACACATTTTTATGGAAGTTTTTATACCTTACCAAACTGTGTATGTCAAATTGTCGTATTATTTACAGAACGTTTCACTTTCGAAAATCTGCAGATTTATATTGACTTTTTGTTGAAAAAGTTGAAGCACCTTTCCCAATTTGTATAATAACTGTTGCATATTTCAAGTCACGTTTGATTCTATGAATAGGAAAATCTGGTTGTTAACTAATAAGCATTACATTAGATTATGATTGTTGTGAAGCTGTGATCTTTATCAAACTTTCATTTTCCACAGCTTACCGAGTGTATGTTTGTCAACTTCCTTGGAACGCCAGTGCATACCCAATTTATAATGACTTGTTTCGTGGTAAACTAGTAACATTGAAAATGCCGAAAAAATGTTTTTACCATTTATACCTTTAAAAGCGATATTTTTGATATTCTTCTGTGTCTACTAGGGTTTATTTGGTACAATACTCAGTGTATATAACTATTAAAAACGAATATACCGAAACAAAGATATTTTTACCATTTAGATCTTAAGAATGCTTTATGTGAGATTTGAAATAAAAGGAAATGGGGTTTAACTTTAACGTCCTACTGTTCTGCTCCTAAACTGGGCTAATGAAGACGGGCATACGCCATACAGTGTGCTATAAGGGAAATTTTCCCGGGCAGCGACGCTACGGCCTACTCTTATATCGAATTCCAACTGCCAAGGGATCTTTTACGTGCACGCCAATGTGTACACGGGACCTCGTTTTTTTGTCCAATCCGAACGACTAGACAGCTGTCCTTGTCAGGCCTTCCGTGCTAAATAAAATCCATTAAAATTTGTAGCCTTATATCGGATTGTGCCGTTGGGGGGGGGGGGGGCGTATACTCACAGATAGCCGAGTATCAATAAGGTTGTTCCTTTCTTCCTTACCCCAATGTTTCCCACCAAATCTGAAGTAAAATATGTTAAAAACTGTAGCCCTCATCAGGTTTTCTGTAAAGGGGAGGTACCTCCAAAGCGGGAGGGGGTGGCATAGTGTTAAAAATTGATAAATCTTGTCTTGTTACTACCCCCAATGCTTTGCACCTAAATTGAACATAATCTGTTTAAAGCTTTAGCCGGGTCAAAAGGTCGGAGTGTTGAAAATCGATAGGGTTTTTCCTCGCATGACCCCAATACTTCACACGAAAATGTGTTGCCTCTATCGCGTTAACAAGGTTTTTGATATGCTTCACATCAGATTTTAAGAAAATCTGTTAAAAACTGTAGCCTCTTAGTCGTCAACAATGTTTTCGGCAAAGGGTAGGTAGCTCCGGAAGGAATGGTCATGGAGCGCTTAAAATCGATAGGTTTCGCCCTCTCGTCGCCCCAATGCTTCACTCCAAATTTGTAAAAGAATATTAACAATTGTAGCCTCTACGCGTTAATAAGCCATTTTGCTGGGCGGACGGACATGGGTGACGGAATAATACGCCCACTATTGAAACAACTTTCATCCTTTATGCCATGCATTATTCGAAGACTGTTTGTTTTCCTGATAATTTTACAAATAAATAAAATACTTGAAACGACATTAAATAATACGCGTCTTTTCATAAATCTTACAAATGGGAGTATTTAAAAGATGCCCGCATTATGTAATACGTAAACATGTATCTACTCTCCAGAGATGCCGTGTCAGTTTCACATTATGCCGCTGGATCATTGATCAGATATATGATGTGTTGGCATAGGAAATGCTTTGCACAGTAAACACGTAGTTTGATATCAGTATCATACATTCTACCAGACTGTTTGACATTCAGTACATGCATGAGATTTGTTGATTCCAAATATTGCAGTTACTCACTGTGACTCTGTATAAATAGGTCTACGTATTTGGTAGCCAATATTTTACAGAAATATGTTTTCTGTATCTAAATACCACATCATTTACTGAATAAACAATACACAGATACCTACATCATAAGACATCCGAAGTGGCGTTCCCTACAATCTTATCATTGGAAAGATTAATAACAGATTTGCCTAAACGTCATGGTATTTGGACGGATAAGCATTGATGCAAGCAGTGCCGGACTGGTGGGCCGAAGGCCCACCTGTCAGGTCATTGACCAAGGACCACACAATTCGACGCTCCGAATGCGCGCAAGCGTCCGAGGGGGTTTGGGGGTCTCCCCTCAGGAAAATTTTGAAAATTGACAACTGCAAACCCATTTTCCAAGCATTTCAGACCAAAGCAGAAGAAGACAAATTTTTGATTTCCTGATACAATTAGATAACGGAATGACCTAAGAGCACTATCAATAGATGAATTTGAGAATTCTAGTACACTTCTTTCTTTGTGTTGTTTGTCAGTCATTTTTTTCCTATCTATTCTTTCTCCTGTCCTGTGTCCTGTCCTGTCCTTCCTTCTTTCTTTTCTCCCCCCCCCCTTTCTTTCTCTTTTCTTTTTTCTTTCTCTTTTCTTTTTTCTTTCTCTTTTTTCTTTATTGGCTTAGGCCCACTTCTTTTAATGA